AAGCTACATTACAGAGTTTATTCGACCTTGTATGACTCGTCAGTGACGTAAAGTGTGTAGATGGGAGATGTACAGGCCCTGTCAACAATGTTATTGGGTTATCATTAAGATATCTTTAATAAAGTACCATATTTGTATGTTACACAAGACTCTTTCATCTTCATGCACACTTTATAGCTGGGACGTATATTAAATGGAAGTAGAACTGATAGAAATGTTTGAATTCACGAGCGGCCAACGAGCGAAGTTATGTTTCGCGTGTCTGCACACTGCTTTAGTGGTTGTATAACGACATGATAGAATATCATATCAGTGTCTGATACATCTTCTTTTATCACAAATGTCAGCCGAAGGTTACAACATACTTCCACGCTGACCATAAAAAGACAAATCACGTGTAATGATGGATATGAGTGTGGGGCGGGGTCAGTTACCTGTAATAACACACGAATGCATGTTTCGTACCGATAACTGTCCCCAAAAGCATGTTCTATACGATACCAGTGGTAACAGAACAATGATAGCCAGCAGGGATCACGACGGAAAACCCCAGGTGTCTGTAAACAGATTATTAATACGTTATCCATCACAGAAGTAAGGTACATGGTACATTTATGTAAAAATCCTACTATTAATTGTTGATAGCTTGATTTTATATGCTCTAACGACCAATGAACTAGAATTAAAAAATGTGAGTAAACATTTATTGTTTATAACTTAATCCACCTGTTATCCAGGAAATTCCTCCATTTTTTCCGTATATGTCACTAGTGCTGTATTTAACAGTAGCTATATCAGTCAGAAATCGATTAGGATATCACAATTTAGTTACCGTCGTTACGTAATGAATTGAAACATGGGGCAGCTAAACGGTTTTCTCTGTATAATTTCGATCCTCATTTGTTATCTTAAGACCTGTCAAAATTAAAGTTTTCTGAGTTGTTAGATAAAAAGTAAATCATTGTTCTTTCCATATGAGATTTTACGAAACACGTCTCGAAGTCTTAATATTTGCTTTTCGAGTTTAAAAAAATCAAAAACGAAAAAAATTAGTACTCGTTTCATATAACCTAATATGGAATGAAATCTCATTGAAGATTCTAAATTTATTTTACAAATTAGTTTGATTTTATTTCTTAACCAATGTATTATCAATGGAAACTATCGGTATTAATCGACCGACATTATGCGGGAGGTTGTAATAGTTAGGTAAGCTTAAACTATACGCACTATACTGGCTGCATCTCCTACTACTAAATTGCACATCAGTGAGTGATATTTGTCTTTATCTCATAAAGCGAAGGGCGTAGAGCTAGAATGTTGAAATCCTTAAAGACCAAGTGGAGATATTTAAATTCTTGATCACATTTATACTTTGCTCCAGTGTTTGAAACTAGTTCACCTTCGTGAAATATCGACCCTTTAAATAACAATAAATGGTGTTCTCTATTTAATTATCTAATAGGATAAACAATGGAAAGCTGAACTCTGACCTACCTCGTATTGACTCCACATGCCATGTGGCACGCCCACCCAGGATTCTACACAATAACCACTGAGACGATGCTATTACATTACGGGGAGTAACACGGCTCTCTGGAATTCATACAATTTATTTAATTTAGCCAAAATTGTATTTTTAAATACACCATCATCGCTCAATAGAACTCATTGGCATCCAGTATTCTTACAGGGACATACTTCAATATGTCTAATGCACCGTGATGTGGTGTTCCGGTATTCTCAAATACCAAACTAAGTATCATATCAAACCCCCCTCCTTTAAGTTTTTCAACTCATTGGACACGTCCTAATTTGCTTCTTATTTACACAACCTAGCATCCAGATACACCCTAAATTCACTCCTTTGTTCCCTCTGTTGTTTAAGTATACCATTTAAAGTCACTCCACATGCATTGCCACTACTTTCATAATCTTGTTATAACCCAGTAAAAATTTTAGTCTGCCTGCCACTATACGTGTCGCCTGAATGACATGCACATGTAACACGCGATAAGAATTTTCACGTGTAAACCACAGACCATTACGTCAACCATTGGCAACGCAAAACACACAGAAATTGATTTTTAGCCAATTGCAAGTGGTCAAACGGTTAAAATAGTATGTGCTCTTCAGGTGATCACTACATAATACAGATCTTATTCAGGGTTTGACTTATCTCGGTCGTTGGTCTTGATAAAGTTTAAACAGTAAAAAGTTTTAATAATTTATCATTCAAACCACTTACTGTACTTGTTATCTAGGTATCCATCAAAGCCTTTCCAATGTTGAAACCGCAATGGAATTTTTTTACATTCGACGAAGCATGGAAACTGTATAGGAATTAGTAACTATGATTTTTCACTGTAAGGCTATGGTCTTGCGATGCAAATATAATAGTTTTGACACAAATATTTGAATTTATATAATTCTTTGTGCGATATAAAGCTGGAAATGTGATATCTGTTGCTTTCGTTGTTTTATACCTCGTTTTCATTTGGGAAAATGACATTACTGACTTGGATTGACCTACATTTACCTGGCGGGTATCGTACATGAAGCAGATGTTTACCCTTCAGGAGTTTCTATGCATTTTTCAGGAGTTCCTTTTGTTCATATTTTGCATAATTTGTATGTGATTTAAAGATTCTGTTAAGCATGTCGGAGAGAAACTGAAATATTTTGTTTGGTAGTAGAAAAAGAGTACCTGGAATGGAATATCACTGACTTTATAGGAATCGGTTATATCACATACTACATCCTATTACCAATATGGTTAGAAAATGAAGGTGGTATTCTTTATTGTATTTGAGTTACATAACAATGTAACAATGTAACAAGAGAAACATTTTAAGATATTCTTGTCAAAATAACTATACTTACATAAGATAAAGAGAAAAAATAGATAAATGAATAAATGTGAAATAAAAAATAAAAACAAAACTGATTCACTAATTATTGTTACTGTGTAATGGCAGAATAGGACAATATAACGTTGTCCTTTTGTAATGATGAAACAAGAACATAGCCAAGCTTAGCTCATTCTTATACATCCAAAGGAATATCTCATTCTCTTGTGTGTTTGCATAACTAGTTGATTATCATTAGTATGTGTATGTCTCCGAGATAGTGGTAGACACTGCTGGTGGACGGACTTCAAGTCCCCAAAATTTACAGTAACCTGGATGTCACTTTATGATTCATTTAAACAGTGTCATGGTTAAGACTATAAACATGTACTTGACGTTCTTCTGAAATTATCAGATACATGAAAATTTCGAAACTTATTGAATTATGGGGTTTGTGCACTGCACCATCCATACTTGGATATTTACCGATATTTTGGTTTTCCTCGGTTGCCTCCTAGATTTAAAAATTAGGCTTTATGATGACGTTTTCTAAATGTATTTTGTTAGATTTCTAATTTGTATTGAAATGTGCTATTCGTTTGTGTCTTCTGTACAATCCTCAACATGTATCAATAAGTAAAAAATTCATTACGCAATTAAAACATGTGCTTTTCATATTTAATTGAGATTAATTATCCTGTCACTGTAGCTGTTACACCTAATGGCAATGTAGTATTACGTAAGGTATTAATATCATCTTGACGGAGAGAAGGAAAACAAAACATAACTGATTCGGTCTGACCTAGCTATTCTGTATATTCAGAAACGATAATCAACTTTTCATTTTATAGTGTTTTTTAAAGGAAACAATTTGTTATTTTGTATAGTTACTATTCATTCATAATACTATTTAACTGTATAGTTATCACAGTGTGGAATTATCATTTTAGTAATACAAGGACATAGAGAGTGCGTTTCAGCGTATTTTTAATTAGCTACCATTTAAAAGAGATCTTCAATGATAGTTTTTTTTTTCTTAATTTCAAGACAAATCATCCAACTTCTGGCATGACAAACAATTTAGAGAGGTATGGTTTATATACATACATCTGATGTTAGAAATATTTCTCAGGAAGGTATAACGAGAGAAAAAGTTACCAAGGTGTAGACTGATTGTCTTCTGTTGACCGACTTAATCCAACCTTTTAACCTCACCACATTAACAGTGATTTACATAAGCTAAAAATTGCAAGTCAATGAAATATATAATCCAAAACAACAATGAAAATACAAAGCTATCAAGTTAGCAGATTAAAAACACATAACAGTTTTGATAAAAATAAGAAACGTTGACCTGGAAAAAGCAGGAGTGCCAGATTGATAATATGAAAGAGGAAATCTTCCTGAAGATGCAGAAAGGGAAATACAGATATCTCTGCAGCTTGGTATTATCGTAATGGGAACTCTACTGGAGTGTGTGCACGATAGCATGGGATATGATATAGTAGGCTGCAATTAGCATAATATAGAAACATCTGAACGTGTGGTGATAAGGTTTTAGAAAATGGGTCATGTTTTATTTATAAACATACAAATTTAACCTAGATTTGACCGTACTGATTCGCTGTGAACAGTAGATTTTGGTCTAGATTTGGCCAATTGCATTCTTTCCAACAGATAATCCCATTTGGTGTTCATTTCAGTGTGTGAAAGTAAAACAGCCTTAGGTGATCAAAGCAAGGTATACAAACGGGTCTGTGCAAGTATAACGAAGTATTGAAGCCCACGTCTTGTGAAGCACAAGTGTGGGTGTCCTGAGGACAATAACAGTCATTACCGTTTTACGTAGCTGAGGAATAATTTAGCGCTGTTTCAGACTAATCAATAGTGCTTACATCAAGATCACATGATAGGGTCAACTTTGGCCACTTGTCAAGTAGTGTTATGTAAATCTATGGAGAGCGAATAACATCACACCGCCAATTGACAATGCCATCCAAGGTGTTGAAAAGGTGAGAAAATTGTATGGAATCTTTTTTAAGACCACAATGTTGCTGGTGCAATTGATGTATTCAAAGAAAATGACCATGACGGTCTCATTCGGATTATGTTACATAATTGATTACGTGTAGTTTACAATTGTGTTGAGACATGAATATAACTGTGAATGCAACAGGCAACATCTCCTTTGTTAGCAATGGGGGCCATGCTGGTCCATGTGTCACATCAGGATGCCGTGCTGTAGCGGTTATCATCTCACTTATAGCCATCCCAGGGGCTGTTGCGAACGCCCTCGTGTGTGTTCGGGTATGTGCTGACCCGCGGTTAAGGACGCCAACATTCACCGCACTTGCTGCGCTTGCTTTCGCCGACTTCCTTTTCATTCTTCTCAAATACAACAGTGTTGTCGTGCTCCATTTCTTTTACGACGGGTTTACCAATGCGCCTCTCTACCTCCTCGTTATGGATTCCCTTGCAACTATATGTGGTGCGTCTTCCGCTTATCATGTTGTGCTTTTGTACTCGTTTCGGTATTTCAAACTTGTTTATCCTCTGAAAGGATATTTGTGGTTTACAGCGAAGAAGATTTTAGCCATTTCCGGTGGAGTGTGGTTGGGATGTGGTATCTTTATTTCCGCTTATATTGTGACTGTATATCTCATGGCGGCATCACATCCGGTTTTGGCGTTTGTTTTCAATATCATCACTACCATTGTGATGGCTCTATTTCCGCTACTAATAATACTTATACTACATTTCATGAAAACAGCCAAACTTCGTTATTCAATTGCAGCCACGCGCGCTGACGTCACAAGGATAATGTCCCGTATGGTGACGGCCATCGTTATAGTGTATATCATAACGACGACACCTGCGAACATTCGAGATATTGTTTCCCTCGGATTTCACCCTATGGATTCACCGTCATTCCATGTGTTTGAAGAAGTGTGTCGTGTGCTGATGTTTGTTAATTTTGCGGCAAATCCATTCATTTATCTTCTGTTTTCATCACAATTCCGACAGAGTGTTGTGTCCTGTATTATTTGGTAATATAAGTCATGTGTTCCTTTGAGTCATGCATTGACACACTGCGTGTGAATGTGTATGATGGGATGTAAATAAATGAGGATGATTTTTTTCTGTGTGAGGGAATTGGGTATTTTACAGATATAATATAGTTTAAATGCATATATCAAATTAACAAATAAAATGTTACCATTAGGCATCACTGTAAATGTATGATAGTTAACTTTATCCGGCTGATAAATATCTATCACATAATCGACCTTTTATCCATGTAATTCATTCATGTAATTTTTTTTTTTTTGCATATGTGTCACTAGTGTTGTATACCTTGGAGCGTTTCCTTTGGCTGCGCCAGTTAGAAATCTATTATGACGTCATGATTTGGACAATGACGTTATATAATATATTTTTATAACGGACGTTTCTGTGACTGTGATACAAACAAAAGCTGACATTGCAGCGAAGCTATCACGACGTTTAGTAAAATAAAATGATTTATTTTTAAACTCATATCATGTCTTTCGTTCATTTCAAAATCAAAGGTTTCGAATTTCTTTTCTGTCTGGTGTTGACAAGAAAAGAGAAAAGTTTAAACTTTTAACTATATGTTTTTTTTCCAAATCGGTAGAACGTCTGAATTCAGAATGCAGAGCTAAAAATCATTTCATTTTTCAAGTTTGTCTTTTCGTTTTTTTCACATGACGCGACGGTGTAATTGTTCGTAGTTTCTCTATATATATTTGCAACTTGTTTTCGATAAGAAACGTTCATAATAGTTTCATATAAATGGCAGAACTTGTGTTTTTAATACAAACCGCGGTATGGATATTGATTTATTACGTCTGAAGAGCAAATGATAAGGTCAAACCAACAATCTAACCGTCTTTAATGACCAAAACAAAGACACCACATGTCATATTCAGATATTAATGCTAACAAGTTAAGTTTGATCCCTCGCTTTTGAAGAGCACTCGTAAATAAATTATAAACAGTGCAGTGTTCTGATATGCTTAAAAAGACTTTTCTCTTGCATTTTGAATTATACAGTAAGAAGGTCTGTGTATTAAAGCAGGTGCATCCAAACCTACACGAGAAACTCGATTTATTACGATGCAGGAACATGGCAGTCTTTAGAACAAAGGAAAAGACACAATGTACAAAAGACACAAATTAATGGCACCTTTTGATACAAATTTAGAAATAGATAAAGTAGAGACAAACAAAATTTAATCAATTTAAACCGCATCACACAGCTGTTTTGTCCTTCTAGGTGTAGACAGTGATGTTAAGGTTATAAATATCAGGTCATACATTAGTATGAGAACGTTTTCCCATTTCAGATCGACTCTCATAAGTCTCTATTCATAGACAAAAGATTGTCCATAATCTTCGTAGGATTTACAACGGGATCATACATCGGTAATTATATACCTACTGACAATAACGACCTTGAAATATCAAGAGCATCTGAATTCAAACTCAATAAATCTAGGATAAAACTAGGGAAAAATATTGGGGGAAGTAGGGGACGGGGATGGTTGAAGGAAGAAACTGTTACACGAAGACCCTTGAGAAACTTCAAGGAAAATAAGACTATGCGTTCCGGAAGGGTAAGCGTCATCTAATTCATCGACGACACATGTCATGTAAATCACAGTTAATCCCAGCAGAAATGGAACAACTAGGCATGCTCACGACCACGCAACACATCCAGCTTCATACAACACAATATATTACTTCCCTGTGAGATCATAACAACTATTTATTCTTCCCTTTATCCTCATTAACATGCATCTCTCTATATCCTGTGTTGTGTGTTTACTACTGAAATTGGATCGATAATCACCTTGTTTTTTCAGCAGGAGAATTTCTTGAACATGTACTTTTCGTTAGTAAAGAAAGGTACATTACTACTTTGTAAAGAAAGACTTAATCCTGAGAATGGTGAGGTGCTTCTAATGAAAAAAGAAAGTTGGGATATTTCAAGGTTTAATGTAACACCTGAAGATGCAAATGCCGTGTTTCTACTGAGACAGAAAGGGAGGTAGGCTATTACTGCTGTGAACAAACAAGAAAAAAGAGGATGTAGTATTGAGAAAACTTCTGAAGATGAAAGTGGAGAAAAGGAAATGGCTATGGTATCAATATCGTCCTGTCTGTATGATGAAGTATTGCTAACAGGAAGGCTATTTCAACGATGGTTTTAGAATTTGAAGGAGAATCATAAGCAGAATTTTCCCAAAGTTCAAGGTCAAAATCAGTATTTAAGAGATCAGTATGAATTATATTTAGTTTCATCTCATCTTCATCACTTTTATATCTAGTGTATATCAAGAAGCTACAAATGGCTCACAGTAAACCGCAAGTAAACACTTACACTAGTAACTGGATGAAATCTCCCAACGTTGTCACCACGACTTGAATCTATCAGTAAGTGATATGAATTCAAGTGTTCAATTGTCTATACAGAGTTTATTTCTTGTGAAGTGCGGTTAGAAAAAAAGTCCTCAAGTATTGACATCGTGTATCTGTCACCATCGTCGTCGTCATCGAGGTAATTATATGTGGGGTACATTATGGATGCTTATGACGGCAGATCAGAACATGAAGAGTTTAACTATAACTAAGAGAGAATGATGTCTACTCTGAGTGCTAGCCAATGGCCCTCTGTAACGCATTGTCAGCTTGATGTTAGTTTATCACAAAAGTCCCCATTGCAGGTATTTATTTGTTTTTGATTTTTTGTTTTTTACTGGGGTTGGTGTTGGTTTTTTTTTTTAATTGGAATTAAGCTGACAAGGAGTTGAACAGTTTGACAAGGTATGTAAACCTGTTGATGACGTGGCTGCTCCATTGATACAGGTAAACATGTGATGGTGTCCATGCTTGTACTTGACCAATACTGTGTATCTAATTTGACCTTCACGTTTCCCTCGGGCAATCACTGGACTTGAATATTGACGAAGACTCCTGGCTATTAGCGGTCATCGGGTCTCTGTCTTACTGGTAACAAACATGCAATGTCTATGGCTAGATCGTAAACAGATGTACATCAGGGACATCCGGTGTACATGGACCCCTCAATCAGATGCAATAACGATAAAGAATGGTCTAGAACTCTCACCTTGTGTAATATGAAATTAGACGCTGAGTTAGTAATCTTATCCATGTTCACTTTGTTTTAGTAGTGACACAGTCCAGCATACACACTCACCTGGCGTTCTTCTGCAATTACCAGATAAATAAAAGACTATACAAAAGATACACTAGTTAACTTCGGAAATTTATCGAATTATACTTCTCCGTCTATATTTTGGTTTTTCTGTAGATGGATTTTCCTCTGTCGCCTCCTAGGTTTCACAATTTAAACCCTTAACATCACGGAGAAGTCCTAAGAGGACTAAACAACTGTATGGAGCGGTTTAATTCGTTATTTAACGCTTCTCGATCTAACTCGAAATTTGTTTTAAAATAGGATTTTCACTTTTATGTCTTATACAATATTTGCCTTAAGGCTAAATATATCAATTTCGCTGTTGTAGTTAAAAAATCCTCGAATATGTAACCAGGTATCGTTTCTTTGTGGTCATATAAATGCGCTTTCTTTTAAAATCGCTTTATCATTCAGTCCATCTCATCACTGGGGAGTCTAAGAGGGACCAGACATTGAAGGAAAATATGTGTGAATTTGTTCTAAATATACTGTCACCTTCATCACAGGAATGACCTTCACTAAGGTATACAGTATACGAGATGTTGATAAACTCATATGATTTCGGTTCAGTGGGATCTTACGTAAACTAAGGTGGAATGTAGCGTGACGTGGTAAAAATATACTGAGAACATGTCGAGTCGGTGACATTGGGCGGTAACAAGGTATACTGGACACAAAAAGTTAAGAATTACAGATATATCTGTTTTTTTCTGCCATTAGATTCAAAGAAGCTTGAGACTCCTTCATCAATGCTTCATAAACAATGTATGCACAATAACTTTTCGCCCGCGCAAAAATCAAAGTGTCGATTGTGGTTTTATTTAAAGTCTGTGTGGACTAACTGTCAACTCAACCTACAAATTTTGTGTTTCTTCTGAAAGTCCTGTCATTTTGCATCCTGTATTGAACATTTGTTGGCATGAGACGTCACATGACAGCTACAGATCCTGGCGAAGCAGTTGAGATGCTGCAAGCAGGACAATCACAACTAACTGTGGCTGCACACTTCAATGTATCACTTGGTGTCATTTCTCGATTATGGAGTCGATTCCAGGTGACCGGAAACATTACCGGCTTCCTGTCAACCGACAGGAGCTTGCTGATGTTCTTCAAGAATGGCCATGAATTTCACAAATGGCTATACGGCGTCTGATGCGTCAAGCCGATGTCCTGCCGTTATTGGGGCCAACAGAGGACATTCTCACTATTGATAGTGGTGCTGAACTCATTGAATCATTTTACATTTTCAGCGCCATTGGGACTATGAAATTTATATGTAATATATATATTTATACTCGACACGCTTGAATGAAATTGATTCTAAGTGGTTCAAAATTGTTTTCTTATCGTTTGACTTCATTCTTGTATTTCATATCCCCAAAAAAGTGTTTGCATTTAATATAAATAAAATGTGACACCCAACTTTTTGTACCCAGTATATTATTGCATGAGAGTCGGTTAGGCTTCCTGCGACCTCGTCACCTTACATAGATTACTACTGTATCACACCCCGTATACCTCAGTATACACCGCATATCGGTCATGGAGCTGATTACAGACCGCTAATCGTCTGATGAACCAGTAAGTTATAGAACACTGCTATAGTACCTCAGAAAAGGTCACAGTCCGCACTAAATTGTCTATTTTCTTTATCGGTAGGCCTAATAACACAGTAGTCCACGTCACTAACTTTACGCAATTATAGCAAAATTTATGCAAAAAAATAGTACTAATAAAACATATCTTCAACGAAGTATTCAGTAGAAATTAATATGGAATCGATTTCAGATGACCGGAAACGTCATCGATAGACCTCGATCTGGTAGACCATGGTGTATGACAGCTCGTCTGGATCGATATTTAAGCACTCTCACATAGCGAAATCAGTTTGCAACTTGTCATTCCAAGGATGAATCTTGAGTCATTGTAGATTTTCGAAAGATATGTAGCCTTTATCTATTTGCTGCAATTTCGGTTATTTAACGTCCATCATAATTTCCAAATAAATTGTGATATAGGTTGCCAACCAGAGGACTGCATATTCAATACTTAATTTGTCAGCTGTTCAAGTGTATAATATGGACATCTACACGTTTTGTAATATCGGATGAAACAATATATTGCAAACATTCAGGAATGACTTTCAGGTGTACTTAAAAATCCTAGGCAAAGCAAGGCGTCTTCGGGACTTGCTCTAGACGTCACAATATTTTATATCAATTTATTTCCTCCTTTGTGGTTGTTATTTGATGAATGCATAATTTCTATCCATTTACAATATTACATGTATTTCTTGTGTTTACTTGTGACGATAGAGTTGAATCCGAGGTTATCCGCACGACAGATATCGTGTTTTTAAAGTGTTATGCTTTGTGTCCGAGTGTCCAATGCATGTTAAAGTTGGGAGTGTATTGGACTTCAAAGATGTACTTACAGCACTGACATGTTTACTCTAGTACTTCCTTACGATCATCAGATTGTTCATATGTCAAATCTATCTCAACTTCAGTTGACCTTTGTACTATAACCTATTATCCCGACAGGAGGTTAAAAAAGAACAAAGAAGAAAACGACATGTTAACATAATCATAACCCAAACTCAAATTCATTAAAACTAGGGCAAAATATGAACTAAAGAAAGATTTACAAGGAGACTCCTGAACATATACAATGAGACTAAGATCAAGTGTCCCGGAAGTGTAAGCGTCTTCTGCTTCAAGGACGACACTCGTAAGGTAAAGTTTAGTAAAAGAAAAACCAGCAAACAAACATGGGTCTGTTCCGTGGACCGGGATATCTCAACCTCGAATAAAGACAAAGGGATTCCCACTTCGATCTTACCTTATTTGTTGACCATGTCCGTGATAGGGACTTACTTCCATGATAGGGAAGTTATTACAACAGCTGGACTACAAGCAACCATCAAAAAGTACTAGATTTGGAACATATCAGATTTAGCTTCAATCATGCCTAATTTATACTGGTTACTGTAAAACCATACATTTTCTCGGGCTTCATTTTTTGCTTTTCTGTCTTTCTTTTCAAAATTACAATTTCGTGGAGAGTTGGTTTCGTGGAAACCATGTCGCAATAAATCTACTTGCGGTTATTTTAACATCTTAATTCATGGATTAAGAATACCTAAGAAATCAACGAAAATAAACTCACAAAAATTAATAATTTCGCAGAAATAGCAAGGGAATAATAGTTGAATTCAGTGTCAAAATGTTCTGTAAGTGAATAATTATCTGACACCTGAATTGTGTATATTACGTGATTAAGTTTTTTCACAGTAGCCTACATCAGACTGCTAAAATAGTGTGCTATGAAAATATAGATGTTGACTAGACCAAATTTACTGTACTTTTTTTTATTATTTTGTCTATGATTTCGGATTTCCTATGTCTGGCAGTGATTTTAGTAATTCAGACAGGCGTTATAGAGAATTAAGGTATGGAAAAGTTTGGAATGAGGATATTGAGGAATTTTACAGATACGACTTGTCTACTAAGAGAGACATGTAAGCAAATATTTCGTCAGTCAGTGGGATATAGTGGATATCTCACAACAACACTAGAAATAATTAAAGCTAAATTGTCATCAATCGACAGGATGCATCTACATAAACACTACTAATACAGAAGATTCTAAATTTTTTTTCTTCTTTTTTTCAGACGTCACTTTCAAGCGTCAGTGTGATCAGCGGTTCATCGTTAAACAATGGTGTTAATGGCTATACCAATCAAACATTTGATGCCACAGACAAACCAAACTTTTTGACTCGAGATTTAGGGTTTTTCGGAACTAACAGATCTTCGTACAAATGCCATATAAAACATACGTGTGAGATTTTAGGAACGGACAATTGCAAGAGGTGCATTTGGGAATCAAATTTACAAGGATTGTACGATCGAAATTACAACCCGGTTATAGGAAAGGGTCGTGGAGACGACGCATGCGTGTTATCATTGGTAAGGTATACTTTTAGCTCATTACAGATATGAACATCGCTTTTCAAAATGATCAACACGATATTTAATCCCTTGAAATATGTCAAATACTGTCTAATTAAAACTGTTTTAATCAGATAAATAGTTTTTTAAGCGTTCACGCTACGATTTTTTTTGCCAGAGATCCCACCTGTTAGCAGAACTCTCTGGTAAAGAAGGTGGGAAACGTAGACAGTCATCGTCTGCCCCGTCCTCTTTCCGGTTACCAAAACAAAAGCAGAAATCAAAGATCACCAATATTCCAGGTTGGTAATGATGTTTTTTGCTGTAACATAAACATTTCCATCTTTTTGTAGAAGAAATATTGTAGTTAGTAAATATGGTAATATACAGTGATAATTCCTTGAAAAATCATTATGATAATTCTTTGAAATAAGATATGTTATGCTTTAAAGGAAAGAGTAAAATGCACCATACTTGTTCATAATCATAAGATGCATCGATAATCACATTCACAAGGATAATATGAGGCAATGATATTTTTGAAAATTCAAATCGAATTATTGGTAAAGTGTTGCCTTACGTAACCAAAAGATCCGAAATGGAGCTGTACTGATGTGGTTCTGTCATTGAACAAGCCACATCTAAATTTCGCTACCTTTACGCCTGCGGTCTGTGTTTACACCGATATCCCTCATCATTTGTCTTCGTTTACGATTTCTTCCTTTTCAGGTTCACACGATGCATGGAAAATCAACTTCGACCAGTTTAAATGTGGAAGAAAAATATTAGAAAGTGAAAAAGATTTGCCAAAGTCATTAAGGTAAAAGAGAAGAGGATGTCAAAAGGGGCATCCATGATTTGGGGTGGAGGAGGGGCGCGGGGGAGGGATGGGGATTATTATATGTGCCTTGTGTACACTGCATTTATAGTTTAGCAAAGCAAGACGAGGGTACATGATACAAAATCATTAGCACAGCAGAAATGTTTCCTAATACATGTAACCTAACGAAAGTAAAAAAAAAAAAAAATACAAAAAAAAAAAGAAAAAAGATAATAATAATGATCAGGTCTTACTAGAATACATACACTATATTATTGGCGACATGGAGACAAAGAGAGGGGCAGATTCAGTACATAAGTGTTGGATGTACCGTTATACATCTATAAAATTAACAAAGGAGTGGGGAGGGGGAATTGGATTTTGATATACATATCTTCGCTTATCTCCATATATCGATATTGGTTTTCTGTTTGGCAGAAATCATGTTAGTGTATAAGTTTAGATAATCGTCCGTAGATCACTATAAAACGATCTAAAAATAGAACACACGAATGTTGCAGTGGTATCCATTTGCTTTTCCTCGATCAGACGTGAAATGGAATGTGGGAGGGGGTCACCTACCCGACCACGTGGGTTTTCCATGGATAATTCGATTTTCCTCTTATAATTTATTTCGAAATTGTTGCGAAATAGATAAAGATTATATATACTTCTGGCAGAATTTTTCTTTACATACAGTCAAGCCTGTAAAGGGGACTCGTACTTGTAGTGCTTTACTCTCTAATACCTTAGTAATATGTGTGGAATTTCTGACTGTGTATAGGTAATATCTAGATAATAGTAAAATAAATCAATTAACAGCTGTGTTAAACTAGCGCTTTCACATTTGAAGATCCTCTAGAGAGGTGAACACGCTACCTCAAGATAGCTGTAGATTTTATTTTTAAAGTATTTAATTTTTATCTCTATAATGATTTTAATACATTTCTTCTGGAAAACATTAATATATATTTCTGATATGGAGTACCGAATATTTATAATAAAGAGTAATTGTGTATACCAGGTATGGTAATCAAGAGGGTGAATTTAGTCAATTTTTGTTATCGTTTCTAATATATCAGTTTCCGAATGACTAGGTGCTAGCCACTTTTAGATACATAATGGTATTTTTAATGTTTTTAGGTCATTCTACAAACAGCAGGCAGCGTTAATTGACAGTTATGAAAGCCTCAGTAGAGACGACCAGTCCTGTAATGCTAAAGACGCTGCAGATCTACTAAAAAAAGCTACGTTCTACTCTCAACTCACGTTCTTTGCAAATCTGGTAAGTACCCCATCACCTTACTGGGAAGAACACATTAAATATAATTTTTCTCTCGTGTGGTCACAAGATGTTGTGAAACCCAGGGTTTACAGCGGGTTCGGGAAAATGTCCACTTTACAAGAAAATTTCCACCATTCGTGTCACAAAAAGTAATGAAACCTCAACATGCGCTTCGTCAAGAAACTCACGTTTCGTAATCAACTGTCTTCTAAGTTTTAATGCAAATACGCCCTGCATCATTTAAGGTCGACTCACTGACCTATTTCTTGATGTCGGAACATATGTTAAACCTTTCTTCAAAAGTAACACACGTAGCTATGTATTAATCATCTTTACAAAGTTTTTCTCTCTGAAATACCTGATACATATTTTAACTTGAGAATGATTTTCATTATAATGTTATTCTACGTTTAGATATATCTTTTTATACCAAGTATTATGCACATTATTATTTAATTCGTTGAAGTAAGCTCTTGATAAGCCATATAGATACAGATATCGGTGTAACGTTATATTCCTAATGTTTAATATTTTATACTCTGAATTGGTTTATTTGGAAGTTTTCTGTCATTTTTTTTAGATCGACAAGAAACAGCAGAAATTTTTATTTCTGTTATTGATGACAAAGCAATATTTGTCTTTACCCTCTACTAAAGGCGGATCACTTACTGCGTCTCAAAACCAACCGGTAGAATACATACAGAAATCTTCATTCTTAAATCTGTTACAATATGTTATCGATTATATGTTTTGTTATCGGTTAGCTTCTCCTGATTGCCAAAAGTATAGCTGCAGGTATATCTGGTTCCATGGCTATCATTACAAGTCTAGTGGACAGTGTCGTGGATCTGGCGTCCGGTATTGTCCTGTGGATCACCGCCCGGGCCATTAGGAAGGGAAACCCTTACTCTTATCCTCAAGGTCAGAAGCTGGTACTTGTGTTTATATAGTCGATACTCACGTATTATGTTCAGCTGTTCACTTATAAAACGTCGGTACTCACGTATTAAGTTCAGCAGCTCACTTATAAAACGTCGGAACTCATGTATTAAGTTTAGCTGCTTACGTATAAAACATCGGTACTCACGTATTAAGTTCAGCAGCTCACTTATAAAACGTCGGTACTCACGTATAAAGTTTAGTTATTCACTTATAAAACGTCGGTACTCACGTATTAAGTTCAACTGTTTACTTATAAAACGTCGGTACTCACGTATTAAGTTCAGCACCTCACTTATAAAACGTCGGTACTCACGTATTAAGTTCAGCATCTCACTTATAAAACGTCGGTACTCACGTATTAAGTTCAGCACCTCACTTATAAAACGTCGGTACTCACGTATAAAGTTCAACTGCTCACTTATAGAACATCGGTACTCACGTATTAAGTTCAGCAGCTCACTTATAAAACGTCGGTACTCACGTATTAAGTTTAGCTGCTCACTTATAAAACGTCGGTACTCACGTATTAAGTTCAATTGCTCACTTATAAAACGTCGGTACTCACGTATTAAGTTCAGCAGCTCACTTATAAAACGTCGGTACTCACGTATTAAGTTTAGCTGCTTACGTATAAAACATCGGTACTCACGTATTAAGGTCAACTGCTCGCTAATAAAACGTCGATACTCACGTATTAAGTTCAGTTGCTCACTTATAAATCGTCGGTACTCACGTATTAAGTTCAGCAGCTCACTTATAAAACGTCGGTACTCACGTATTAAGTTCAGCACCTCACTTATAAAACGTCGGTACTCACGTATTAAGTTCAACAGCTCACTTATAAAACGTCGGTACTCACGTATTAAGTTCAGCTGCTCACTTATAAAACGTCGGTACTCACGTATTAAGTTCAGCAGCTCACTTATAAAACATCGGTAATCACGTATTAAGTTCAGCAGCTCACTAATAAATCGTCGGTACTCGCGTATAAAATGTTACTTCTCACATTTAAAACGTAGCACCCAAGTATGAAGCTTTGCTACTGACGAATAAAACTTTTACCCAAGTAAACAACCCCGCTACTTACGTAGAAGACAGTGTTACTCACGTATAAATTGTGGCACCCACATATAAAACACAGGTACTCACGTACAAAATGTTATTCGCATTTAAATAGTCAGTTTTCACGTATAAAACTCAGTTACTCACGTACAACATGTTACTCGCACATAAAACGTCGGTATTCACGTTTAAGACTCAATTATTCACATATAAAACTTAGCTTCATGTCTTTTTTGCTACGAACTTAGGCAGGAACCGGTTGGAGCCATTAGCTATCATCATACTGTCGGTGATAATGGGAGTAGCCTCCCTTCAGTTGATTAAGGAGTCTGTCACCAAAATCATTGGACTCGCCAACAGAACAAAGCACCCTCCAGTGGTGGATGCACTAACTATAGCTATTTCCGTAGCAACTGTAGGTAAGTCTTTGATCGGTACATATGAACGAAATGGTGTGAAAACAACAGCAAATGAACGAAGACCTACCCTCTTCATAGGATAATATGTGTGGTGTCAATCGCCGAATTGTCTGTTCTCGCACTTGAAAAAAAAATCCCGTCTCTATCATTTTTGCTCAAGGATGTCTTTGCTTCAGAACACTTGTGGTATAAATAGCACAGATATTAAGACTTTCACTTCATTTTTCATGTAGGAAAATTATATCGCAATATTCCATGTATTTCGGTCTAAAGAACAGCGGTACAGATGATTTTCCATGACCAAATATCTTTGTTGTTTCAGTGGTGAAGTTTGGTTTATTTCTGTTGTGTCGGAGAATAAAGAGCCCGACAATACAGGCCCTGGCTCAGGATCATAGAAACGACGTTATCTCAAACACAGTCGCCATCCTCTTCGGCTATATAGGTAATTTATATACAGGACCCAGGTACTCAAAGCTAGGTAAGAGGTATAACCAGTGGTTATGAAAAAAACATTACTATCACTGAAAAAAAGATCTTTCAAAGCAAAACAAACATTCAAAATATAACAAAAATCTACACATGAGAAATGATAATAAGAAAAATTACTCATTAACCACTGGTTCGTTTGATCCCAACTTCGAGCAACTGGGGCCAAAGGGCTTTAATTCATAATTTCCGAACAGTCTAACAGACGGCAGCTCGTCATCATTAACATTTAGATAAGATTTACTTGGTTATCAACACTGTAACATCAGCTGTGCTGTAGATTTACGCAAGGTGTAAACGTTATTTATTATAACCGATAATATAGATGTGCAGTCACATGCCAGACGTACGGACACATGTATATGGTTGGTAACGCTTTCGATAATTACATTGGAAGGATAGAGCCTTCAGAGGTGCTTCAGTTGTACTTTCGCTTTGGTTTTGTTTATTTATACTTTTGTGAAAATTATACAAATTATAAAACTATTGCAAAATCAAAGACAAGCAAGGTATACATACGATTAATTTGTTACTATCTTGATTCAAGGCTAAAACGGACACCCAAACATAGCTCATCCTTAAATGAGCCCGAATGTTACCAGGACGTAAAACAACTATGCACCATGCCAGTGATTGGATATGATTCATACAGAATATGGTTTTGATACAGCTTTCATACACATATATTATGCACACTGCATTATGTATTAAGACTTTTTCTAAAAATTCGGGATAAACACTTTCACATGGAAAAGGCGTGCTTAGACAAGACGAAAAATAGCACAATATTATATAAACAATTGAAAACAAGCTTTCCATTAGCTAAACAGGGAAAGAAATCGAAAACTTCATGTAACATTCATACAAAATTGTAAATGAAACTTGAAAAACGCAAGGTTCGATGCTATAAATGGAAAAAAATATTGAATTATGCGAATAACATTGAAATGATATTGGCAATCAACGAATACTTTATTTCTCCCGTTGTTGTTTCAGGTTCAAAGGACATGCGACAAAAAACAAAGATTCTAAGTCTGGCATACTTAGATCCTATTGGCGCAATATTGATTTGTTTGTACATCGCTATCACGTGGTATATTCTTGGTCGAAGTAAGTAACAACTATACAGAGGTGTAAAGGTTTTAGTCCCAAAGTGAAGTTGAATACATTTTTTTAGTGAATGCCGATTCACCAAATAGAATGTCGGTCTACGACTTGGGACACACCTTGATCAAATTTAATGGTTGTAATTTAGGTTACTTCAGAAAAAGTGGAATTGTTGATCAGATACAAGTGTTTTAAAGAGATTTAAAAATTAAAATCAGAGCTGGTCATTTATCTTTACCTAATTCGTTACAAGTAAGCATAATTTCATCACATTTCATCAATATCATCTGAACACGAGAGGAACTTAAAATACAGCATGACGACATAACCTTTAAAAGTTTTAAATATTTATTCAGCTCTTAGCTATAAAGCTCTACATTTTTATGGATATAAACATCATTTAAAAGTGCATTTTCGTATTGAGGTCACACCCAGAAAATCTAATCAATTTCGAAATTGTCGTTTATTATCAAAATAACAGTAACATTATGTATGATGGTTAAGGTTTACTTGCTCCTTTCATGTTGCGAAATTCTAATTAATACTGGAGTGATTAGTTATGTACACATTACGCAAAACAAACACATACAGACTGATTAGAATATTTATTGTAATAAATAAAAAAAAATTGTGTAAGATACAGTGCATCTTAAAAATGAATTCTTCACGTTATTTCAGTTCAGGTACGGATTATAACCGGACTGACAGCTAAACCAGAGTTTCTGAGTAAGATCATATGGATCTGCTTGAACCATCACAGGGACATCCGGTACGTCACTTCCGTCAAAGCAGTACATAGTGGATACACATTTGTTGTTGAAGTTGGAATTCTACTTCCGGAAGACATGTCGTTGAAGGCCGCACACAAGATCGGGGAGTCGTTAGAAAAAGTGCTGGAGAATACACAACATGTGGATAGAGTTTTCGTCCACATGAACTGTACAGAAAATGACGATCCACCCCTAAATGATTCCACCTATCTATGACGTCACAACCTGTCCTCAAAAATTTGACAGTCTCATAGATTGTGTGGTGTTTAGAACTTGGCAAATAAAGGAGATGACCCGTGTCTTCAGTTCTTTCCACATACATTTTATTAACAACTTTTTAATCTCCTTCCTATAGAGTTCAACAAGCATAACACTAGAGTTAACTCCCTTCTACCGTAACTGTGACATTTGTGTTTTTCTCAATTATATATGTATCTCATATATATAACAAATGTAACTCAGCCGATTTGGGAAAATATTCCCCTTCAAGACAAGTAGTCCCAGTGCATACTTCTAGAAATATTTAAAGTTTAACAGTGACCGGAAATCTTACTTACGCTCCGAAGGAATCAAAACAGGAAACATTTACTTGTCCGTTGCTTCATTAAACAATCTGATTTTGGTTGTAAAGTGTGTTCTCAAACGTGTACAGTTTCTTAACGAAGTAGTCATTCCAACAACTAAATAGTAATGGCGGATTCCAAGCACATCTTAACTCATGATACGTTAATACGATATTTACTTTTTGTATTTTTTGTACAATTCTCGTGGGAACAACTTTGACAAGTTTTCGATATGTCACTCGCAAAACCTTTTTTTTCATTTTCCGCTGATTTTTAAGAACGAACAATCAACCATACATAATTTCATTGAAACCAAACGACATGCAAGACAAACAAAATAGATTATATTGTCATACACCAATGTATCTGTATCGTCGTCTCATAATGTAGTTACTTTTCAACAGTGGAAATGTGTTAAACGAGAATCTAATTCCAAAGTGATGAACGATTTGTGTCCTTTAGATTCATACATTTTAATGCAACACAGCTTATTATTTATTGCAATGCCTCCCAATGGATTCGAACGCGGAATCTCCAGCTGATAAGTCCTACGCTCAATCAGTCAAAGAGACGATCTCAATAGCCGAGTATTTATCAGACTTACATAAGTAATACAGATTATGTCATCACAAATTATACTAAGAGGAGGTAAAAGAGACACAACTTCAACTTTACGGTTTAAAATTATACCTTAAAGCAATATGCATCTGTGGAAATGCAATAGTTAACTCCGAATACTGCGTCATCCGTCTTTACTTTTTTTTTAATGAAATGTGGGCTTTATAAGGCCGCCATGAATTAAGGTACCCTAATGTACACATAGTTAAAATAACGGTAGTTGTCATATCCATCCCTAATATCGTGTGTGCCCTCTCCGAACGTGCGTCCTAACGTTATCATGCTGAAAGGTCAAATAGTGCCCTTTGAGGCCTCATGATCTCATCTCGATATCGTGCAGTCTTTATATTACCGTTAATGATCACTAAAGGTGTCTTTTTAACAATGGAAATCATTAGAAATGCCTCCCCAAACCATAACTGATCCGACTAAAAATCTACACAAGCGTCTGCAAGATCTCCTCCTCGACGCTGGTACACAAGTCAGTGGCCATCTGAACCGTGAATTGAGATTCATTCGTGAAGAATATGGATCTCCTACGTCAACGTATTGATTTGTCTCGTACAGTATATTTTCTAAAATTTTTGATGGGTTCGTCAGTTTCCATTACCAACAGTATTTCGTGCCGTTTCGGCTGCCATTAATTTCCTGTCACACAAGTGGGCAAGCCTAATGAACGGATCTTGACGTCGCGAAGATACACGTGTATGTCCGGTCTTTGTCCGTCATAAATTCCCGTCCGGTTGAAACGTAAACTAACCGACTTGTAGTCGATTTGTGTACTCGTAAGTGAGTAGCGACCTGCCGTTGAGTACTAATTCCCCTAAGCGTTGCGAGAACCCTCCCATCAAGGTTGGGATAGGCATGGCATATTTGTAAAAAAAAAAAAAAAAACCAATGGATTGCCAATGTATTGGCGATCTTGCGTCTAGGTGAAAGTCAAAAATCGATACTAGTTTGAGCAGAAAAGAACGCATGCATTTGTACAGTCACGGGATATTGGTAATTTAGACGACCCGAATGTGGATTAATTTTTTGTTACGGATGACAGAGTTCTAACATTTATTAGGGGATTAGATAAGGTACCCTAATATTCCTCTTACTTATTGCTATATATAAAGAAGTTGCGTTTCTTTATCATTTAAGTGAATATAATTCATTTTTATTTTTTCCTTGGGAAGAAGCGTGACGCAAATATAAAGACTGGTATACATGATTTTATGAATTATTGTGTAACAAAAACCAATAGATGCTATTATGATGCATTACAGTGCTAATTAAAACTTGTATATTTGTGTATGATAAAGTTGATATATAAGTATGACTAATAGTGTTTTGTTTGCACTTGATGACATGAAAATGTAGTTGAATTTCTAAATAATAATATCTATATTAAATAAATGTTCTTCAACTGCTGCTTACTTGGAGTATTAATTAAATGTTGTTCAATTAAAATTGGTGAAGCATCAATTAAGGGTTGTTCATATCAAGTCTTGGTGATTTATTTTTAGCATTTTGTTGCTGTAAACATTTCGGTATTGTACAATGGAAAGTTATGAAATCTAACCACGATCATAACTTTTAAGCATGTATCACAAAGCTGAAGGTCACACACACAATACACATCCGTCTTTCAATGTTATCAAGGTTTTCTTAACCGAAGATTGCACAAAACAAACAGGAATAACACGTATAAATACAAATTTAGAGTTAAATAAATAGAGTCAAACAATGGCTTAAACTTCATCATACAGCTATTCGTCCTTCTAGGACGCTTCAATGATGCTAAGGACCTAAATGTTGAAGTTTAGGAGGCGACTTAGGAAAATCTAGAGTGATCGAAAGGAAATTCAAAATCTAGACAGAAAGAACAATTGGTAAAAGCAAACTGGAATTAACAAAGAAGTAAAAAGTAAATATGGACTGTAAATACCAAACGTAGATAAAGGTAACGCGTTGCTATTTAACGTGTACTTATAGAGTCTACTTACATAAGAGGATTACAAATGAAATTTATAATACTGGATTACAAAGCAATATTTAAAAAACAAATTGTAAACAGTGTTTAAAAATGACGCCAACATACATTTACTAGGTAACTCTAGTGTATATAAATCACATATTTCATGAACATAACTTTTTAAAAATCATTCCAATTATTCTACCGAAGCAATAAATTGTTCAGCTTATAAAGCTGGAGTTCTGTTGGTAAAGCCCGACATCCTATATAGACGAGATCTTCTGTCTTTGTTTAACTCCACACTGAAAAAATACAGACCAACATATTTTGCTTTTTTTAAACACTTTCAAATCAATTCGATCCTTTATTACACTGAGCCTTGCGGCTCTTTAATCTGATTGTAAAATCAAAACTCGAGAAGCACTGACACAAAATCAATTATACACAAATAACATACATTTAGTTATCTAATGATAGAAAAATGGTTACTTTCCCCAGCCCAGCAGTGTAGAGTATTGACAATTTCTAGTAAATTTGATTGTAAAGAACTTCTGATATAGATGTACAGAAGTGATATTGAAGTGGATGAAATAGAAAATAGCAATAAATAATTATAAAAAAAATAATAAAAATGCACTTGACTAGAGAGTAAAATGATAATTTATAAGTATTCTATATTCTCTGTCCAATGACAGATCAATAATACACACTGGCCCAATAACCAATATTTAATCCGCTCAATCGGAACCCAAAGTATATGGAGCCAATTTGCACCTCCACGGCGGAAGAATTCTCCTTTCTAATTGGAGGCAGCTAATCCTGCTGAACACATAATTTGTTTCGAACATGTCATACATGTTTTATAAGTTAACAAAATGCCTGAGTCGGTTAGCAGCAGCAGACCAAACGGGTTTACTAAATGTGTTAAGCACAAGTAGCCCTAACATAATATAAAGCACATTGTCACTGTGAAATTCAGGAAAATAATTTCAAGGGTCCTTTGACGAAACTGAACGGTTTTTGTCATTCTGAATCAACAAAACTCCAAAATGTGTGGGTGATAGGTTTACAGCACAAGAAGAGTGTCTTAAAACCATATTATCTGGGCAAAGAAGTCTGTAAAAGGCAATCAGGCATGCACACCAGAAAACCAAATTTGTAACATTGTTCAAATGTAGTGTAGACTAAATTACTATGATGACATGAGGTGTCTACTGGAGTGTTAGCTGTACACAACACATGTTTAGCATCGTTCTTGAGATATTTGATAACCCTCTTTTGTAGGGTCAGCATATCCCGCGTATCTGTGGAGATGACTAATTATATTTAGATACTGACGTACTGTACTATAGGGAATAATTTTCACCGATGCAAGGTAGACAATGGACACGTGGATTTTTTGTGATGAGACAGGAATTACCGAATGGTGACCTTTCACAAAATGACAAGCAACACTTTATCTGTGATTAGTAAGTTTCTAAGTAAATCCTCTGACACTCCCAGGCCACCTATAATGATTAAATGCCAGAGACATATGATTTTGTAAAGATAAGACAGTAAAGAGTAGGCATGTAAGTAAGGCAACAATGTAATAATGCATTGAGAGCACGTGTCAGCACCAACGTTTTGAATACCTGGAAAATACATACATTTGATAGTAAAATTACAAGTAGCTGTGATCAAAAAAGAGACAAAGCACATACATTGCTGTATCATAACCTTATTTAACCAGGCTGATGCTACTTTGTTATCTGTACAAATCAATATACATGAGTTACGGCATAGGTATCTCCAACGGTAAACAGAAGAATATTGCCAGTAGTTCTTTCACATCAATGTGCTCCAATCTTGCGGACAGAAAATTTAAACCCTTATTGATACAAAAATAATCAGCACAGAAGATGCCTCCTGCATCCTCGATACATCATCAGTTTTTATAGTAGCGATAGAGTGCTGATCTCTAAAGGCACATATCGTGTTTAAACACTTCGAAAATGTAACCACCAAACTCATTCCATATAAAACACAGCAGACAACAACCTCTTATGACTAGGTTGTTTAACGGTTTCCTTTAAATTAAGGAGGTAAGGTTTCTCACCTACAGATAACATGTGCTGTCCAGTTGAGTTTGCCAGTGTTTCTGTTTTCGACTTGCTCCCTTCTTTGAAGTGAAATATGTTAAAGTTCATTAAATCCTGTTATGTTTTCTGAAGGTAAACTTAATGTCATATTTACGGTATCAATAAGCACACCTAAGAAATAGATCCTTGTAGACGGACCTACATTTGAATAGTTAATGCGGAATCCAAGCTTTATAAGAATGGTGGAGAGAGCTTGGAGAGCATATTTACACTGCTGATAATTGTTTCCAAATTAAATAAAATCATCGAGATTGCCTTGTACCCATAATGGTGAAGACGAATTCGACATACCGCACTGCTAATCCTCTGAAATATCTGGGGGCATTTTGTTTCCACCAAGTGGTAAGTTACATACATATAAGTTGAACATTTATTACCTCTAAAAGTCTACACGTGTCCTGTAAATTGCTAGTTTGATGGTGGATAGAAATGGATTGGTATGTACTACTGAGATCCAGTTTTGCTTAGAAACAATCAGGAGTTATGTGTTAGTAGCCTCGCGCAAATCCGTGTAAGAACATGAACTGTCCAACAAAACATGATCAATAACGATGAAATCAACAGGCTGACTGGCGTCATGGATTAAGCTACTTTACTTTTGGGCTTGGGGACGGCATTAACGCATTCACTATTTTCGTTCCTTCGTAACAACCATTTGAGAGTTCAAGAGATGTCTGTTGTTCGACTTCACGAAAAGAGCAAACACATGAAGAGTAATTGTCTATTTCTACTTCTAGCATTGGTTTTTTCAATAAATTCATTATACATGATATGGAAATCGCACTTATTCCCATTCAACAAAAACTGTGTATCAAAGTCATTCGGAAGAGGAGGCTACTCCACTCAGCATAACTGAGCCAACCTCGAGACAGAATGGGCGTATTGTCTCTGATAAAAGCCCCGTTGTTTACCTTTTTGCTACCGGATGCTTTATGGCATATTTCTCTTCCATTAGGAAGAAAAGACGATTTTCTTCGTTTTTTTGAGGTGGATTGTTGCTCGATTCCTGTAGAACGTGGGAAGATGGACGGTTAGGTTTAGCGATTAACAGGAAATATTGTAGGTTGCGTCGCGGATTGTTCCACGGGGCGTTTCAAAGGTCTCCGATGCCGGTTTAGGACTCTTCAACTTCACCGGACGTTTGAGTGTTACTCGGTCCAGAATACATGATCACTTGAGATCAGTCGCAAGCGATCTTACGATAAACATGGCTGCGTTTTAATAAATTTGATATTTTTTTATTGATAGATAAGCCGGATAAATATAAATATGCCAGGTCTATAACAAAAATATTACTTATTGACACGTTAACTTAGATATTCATATCGTTCAAATTTTTATATCAAATGAAATTAATTTCACCACTGTCACTCCTAAATATAGTCTCCAGATAACCAGCAAGTTATGGGCACACCTTCACTACTTATTCATAGGGTCTAGTCTGAGTCACTATTTAGATATGGATACCAATACAACCTAGGTACTGATAAAAAATCGGTCTATTGTACTTACTCGCTACAATGTCATGAACAACAAGACAGTTTTACAAAGGAGGTGTACACTGTGATGCACCATTTCTATATCTAGACTTTACACATACAGTTTATCAGGTGTAGGACGACCTCAATCACGACCCGAGTTTACCGATCGCCAGTTGTGTAGTTTTAGTTTACAAATAGGCACTGTCGACAATGCTAAGAAAAATAATGACGCCTTACTCAAAAAAGTTTAATTTACATTAGAACATGCCCTCTGGATGAAAGCCTGCCACTTTAATATAATTTGAACTCGAACTTTTTACAATGTGAAGATTAAGAAAACTTGTCAACTTGATTTCAGTGACGGCGAGTGTTAAACCTGATGATACGTCTTACATTTGTATTTAATAATGAATACAGAAGTGGTGATAGGAGGATTCAGTGATATCCTTAATCTAATTTTACTAATAACCACACCTGACAATAGTGATAACATATTCGCCATCGATATCAAAGATGACAGCTACATGTACATTTTATCGCTTATCACGTGATCACTGCTCGACAAATAAAGAGCATTACCATATAAGGAGATTCTATTTATATGAGTTACAACCATACATGTACCTACCCAAATTTGCACTTTGATGTCTCACTCTGTAAAGACATATAACAGCCAATAGGTATCATAATAAGAGGGAAGTGACCTTTACCTTTCTAATGCTAGTCTGTCATGTACAAATATAGCACTTTATAGTCTTAACCAGCATTTCGAAATTTCCTATCATAGGTAAAAGTTATTGCTCTCGTCGCCCGCAATTACTTCATCAGTATTGTCGTGTAGAAGCAAGTTTATTAGAGAAATATGATGGATTCCACGGACGAGAAACAACCTCTTTTAGGAGAAAATGCGGAAACAAGTCAAGATCATGTAGATCCAAAGGATACGAAGCCGACGTAAGTATACTTAAATATATTCTAAATAATTAGTCAGCTGTTTGCATTTTATCTATCATAAACTGATACCTTATATCTGAATTATTCACTAGATGTTACGAACTAGATTTAACGCTTTGCTACACCATATCTATAACTCCATCGTGAATATTTTTTTCATTTGCCTTGTATGACTTACAGCTGATCACAATATAGCTTAGTGCTAGACCAGTTCATATTGCCAAAAATAGATGACAGGTAACCGTATAAAATGTAAATGAAGTGAGATATAGATTTCAAATCAAACATACTTCAGAAACTGCATGTGAAAAAGGAGGTCGTGTTCCGCACTGGTAACACACTAATCATTAATCTAGTGGCCCGGAGGTCTATTGCATGTGGGTAATCTGCCGCAGTAAGACACTCGCGTGATTCCTATTTGCAAATAAGAGAGTAAATGGATATGACATGTTTAGGGGTTGTTGTTAAATAAACAAATTTGAGCAAAACAATAGATCAATAAATGAATAAATATATAAATAAATAAGTAAATAGATAAATAAATAAAAGCGACATTGATGATATATGTGTTTTTTTAACATGTATGTTGGTAAAGTATTGATTTTATTGTAAACATAATTGTCGGGTAAGGTTGACTCGCTCTATTATTTTGCATGGTATTATTGATTTTAACGGTTCTCATCGATAGCTGTCACACCAATACTATAGGTAAGGTTGAGGACACCCTTTCCACGTTTACTGAAATACTACATTTAAACGCCGGATTCTCTCCTGTATATTATACACATGAACTCCGGTGCTCAATAACCTAGTCTATTAACGAGAATATCATATCTACTGATTATCCTCGGTCACCGTATCTGATAATGCATTAGTCTGTGGATGTTGTTTCATCAGGTCGACTTTAACCTGACATAGTAAAGATATATAGGTCACACAATATACAACGAGAAGTTATTGTATATGGTATTTTTTTCACTCGAGTTAGTTATTTTTTCAATAAATAATAATAAATAAACAAAATACGAACTTTAGCGAGAGTTTTCGTGACTTGGAAAATCACTAATGAGAGTGAAAAACATGTAACAACCACGTGTGTGTGTGACCTGTTTCTACCACAATAAAAAAGGCTATTCTGAAATCAAACTGACCTGTTATGTATCAACGTGTGTTTTGATTACATCACCAGCTGGGACGTCATGATATAACCTTGAGTGAAAAGCCGCTATTTGATATGCAAGACAGACATTTTCAGATACGTGGAGATATTGACATATTATAAGTCATTACAAATTTGAACTTTTGAAGTTGGTTTGTTTTCGTTCCAAGCAAAAAAAACCTTAGAAATAAAAAAAAAAAAAAATCAAATTCTTACAATAACAGTCATGAACTACCTACAGTGCGTTCTAATTTCCGTAAGTGTTAAAGGCACTCTTTCAGTCAAAGTTCATCTTGTCAGCCAATCAAATTGTTACATCACACCCGGTATAACATGAATGTTTATATAAGAGAGGAATGATATCTTGATGCCCGAGAGTTCAAACGAAGAACTTGACCTGTAAATATATAGAAAGAAATAGTAAAGAACGATAAAAGTAAACGTTTTGTTCGACAAAACAAACAGCAGAAAAATAACACGTCTAGTTATAACTCATATGGATAATCAGAGTGTTTATCAATAGATATCGAAGTCGTAAAGAAATGATAATTACCTTTATCAATCTGTGTTTGGGGTACTGCAACGCCTCGCTATTTTTGCAACGAACATTTCAATTACTTCATATTCGGCTTACAAAATCCAATGCTCATTTACTATAATCATATTAAGGAATTAGTTAGATGAGATTTGTATATGAGGAGCTATGTAATGTATTCTTTGTTTGGATCAATTAACTGAAGTTTATTACGTTGTCTTAAGGAATATTGATTACAATTGTCACATCTCAGCTCCAAACCTACCTCCCGTGTGTAAGACAAATGTCAAAGAATACCAGAAGGTCTGACTAGGATAGGCTAAACGACTTCACTGATGACAAAATACCATACTTAAATAGGAAAACAGTAATTATAGCCTTATGTTTAAAATACGATCAAATATATATTTGTGATCCGAACGTGTTCTTTGATATACGAAGTACGTTTATCGATCATTTTTCTTTTAATAAATGAATACTCTGATAAGGTCGCGTATGAAATTGAGTAAGCAACACCCTCCCCTACCTCCCCTTTATGTCACATGTTATTCTACCAATCGAATTAGTCGTTTTATATTATAAATATTATGATGAATATTGGTCAAGAAAATAATTTAGGGGAGATAAAACTAAATCAATTTCGAAATTCCTTCTTTTAGTTGACAATTTCTAAACGAGGAACTTCTAAGGATGATAAATATTGTTCTGAGGTTTCATCAAAATAGATTTCATAGGAGAATAATGCACCAATACTATTTTAAATATTTCCTCTGAATACAAAGGTTGTATACTGCATTTATTACGTGTTATCGATATATACTTAAAAGTCTCGCCTAGCTGATAACCGATATACATACATAACATACATATGACCTACCAAGACGTCTCCATGGCCTTAGTTTGTTGATGGTAGGCCCTAAATTCCTTGTCGTTAGACTACTATTAGATATCAATGTTTAATTTTTTAAAATCCTTTCAAATGTTAGTGATATCCTTCCGTGTAATTCATGACTTATGAGAGTAGTGGAAAATAGGCTCTATACCGAGGTCACCTGCACTGAAATGATCATTCTGGTTCATGGTCAATGATAATCGGTTAAGGTTATTCAAGGTCAGGCATTACTCATAATCACTAGTGTTATATATATATAATGTTATTGTAAACCCTTCTTACCGTCGTCAGAAGGGAATGTTGTGTAATTATTTAAATGCTCTATATATTTATATTGTTCCCGTATGTAACTGACATGTCCATTGTACCAGGACATTCCTATTTCGAGAACAAAAACACATGTACATATGGTCGGGTGGCGCTGTGGTAACGCACTCGGATTTCACCTAACGTTTCGGGGTTCTATTTCCGAACAGGACGTCAAAAGGTATGGGGTCACCTTCCCGACCACGTGGGATTTCCTCCGAGCCAACAAGAGTGATCAATATAACCTTGTTTCGCAGTTGTTGAAAAATTAAGGAAGTTTATATTTTAACATGTCTTAACCAAGAGCATGATGTGTCTCTTAGACCTACTACGTTTTGTCATACAGTTATATCTGACGTATAAATATACCATAGTTACAAATGATAATGGTATAGACTGCTTAGTCCCAGAGGAAACTTACGATTACACAGATCTTCTCGCTGTTTTCACTCTCTGTGTTTCAGCAATATTCCAATGTTTCCCTTTGGTTTGATTTTATATTGGTAAACATCCTTTCAACAGCTTATTGTCAACTATGGTTATTGAAAGACTACTGTCCTTGAAAGCTTCTGGAGTGCGGTTGAAATATGTTCATGTAAGCATCCTCGTTGTGGTGCACCTATTGTACACTGCTATCACACTGAAATATACAAGATGACAACACAATCAGTCATATCATACTGACGATGTGCCAACCAGTCGTTATACTACCACGATGCTGCGCATTCATCAGTGGAATAGTAATGGCAATGTTTCTGTGTCCAAAACAATTCTGTATCTAGTGAACCATGATATGAACACAAGAGCCGACGATAATACAATATTGGATTCCGAAATAGAACAAATACCTGTTTGGCTATTACTTGAAAAAATGTAAAGATTTTATAAGAGCTCTTCCAGCTAAATAGTGTAGATGTGTTAACTGTTTAAATGAGAGAATTTTTATCTAAGTCTTGCTGTATTCATTGTAAGCTAGTGTCAAGAGAAAACGTTCTAAGCCGTAACCGTGTTCCTTCTTTTCTATTGCCTGGACAGAATTTTCATTAGGTTAGAAAGTAAATGTATTCACCGATGACTATTGTTCAGAAAGGAGTTTCATAAGATTTCTCTTATCGTGAGTTACTGTTTACCCTTATAATGAAATTACATAAAATTTCTCTATACGTATGACTACTGTTTACCACTACAATGAAATTACATAAGATTTCTCTGTAGGTGTGTACACTGTTTACCATTACAATGAAATTACATAACATTTCTCTATACGTGTGTTCACTGTTTACCATTACAATGAAATTACATAAGATTTCTCTGTAGGTGTGTACACTGTTTACCACTACAATGAAATTACATAAGATTTCTCTACACGTACGAACACTGTTTACCATTGTAGTAAAATTACATAAGATTTCTCTACACGTACGAGCACCGTTTACCATTGTAGTAAAATTACATAAGATTTCTCTACACGTACGAACACTATTTACCATTGTAGTAAAATTACATTAGATTTCTCTATACGTGTGTTCACTGTTTACCATTATAGTAAAATTACATTAGATTTCTCTACACGTACGAACACTGTTTACCATTGTAGTAAAATTACATAAGATTTCTCTACACGTACGAGCACCGTTTACCATTGTAGTAAAATTACATAAGAAGCAATATGTAAATTCACGTTATACATAGATATATAGATAAATAAATAGATAACAACTTCCGTGCTGCAGTGTTTACTGTTTATCGTGGTTTGAAGAAATTTGGAGATTATACGACCTTTATATTAAAAAATAAAAAAAGACAAAATCGCTTCAGCATTTCGATGTGTTAACGTAGTACCGTGTGTATTAGAATCACCTAATAGATTCCATGTTTGACGTGTGCATATTAACGCTAACCTATTTGTGTTACACATTGGAAAAGGCAAAGTAAAATAGAAAACAATTTCAGACTAGCATTCACCTAGGAAGTCAAGGATAAGTGAAAAAAATAACGTTTAATACCCGCGTTCAGTTGTACCTATTGTACATGTGGAATTGCAGGGAGAAATGGAACACTGTTTTATAATCGCGCTACCCCGATCCTGTTTGATAATGCTATGCAATGATTCTGCGACTTCTACAACCGAGGAATGTCTGCCTACAGAAAGTTGTACTGCCTCTAATAGATTGTTACATCATTTTATCATACCTACCTTGTGTATACAGTCGGGTTAAACATCACTACATGTCTGTCAACGTATATGTGTAAAGCTAGTGTACTTGTTATGATTTACACGGGGAATTGATGCCGTTCTCATTATCGATGGGGATCGATTATCATTGATCTCTGATCTACATCGCCATTGGTATTGACAGTAGTGTAAACTCATCGTCATAGATAAAATGCATTCTGTATTATATCTGTAATTCTTCAGATCTTAATCTGGGAATGTAACCTCGGCCGTATGTGTAAAGGTTTTTTTTCGCGTAGTGTACTGCACAACCTAGCACCAAACAATGTCACTTAGTGTAAGAATTTTGAAGGATTTCATCACATTGGTCTGGGAATAAATAGAATTATCATGTTTATGTGTGTGATAACAATGGCGACAAAAGCGGATAACCCTGGGAAACCTCATTCTTTTCATATTTCAGTATATATCATTGTCAGGATTTTACAGACAAAAAGAATTAGGCAACAGGTATAACCTATGAAAACTTCCTCATTGCTATTGTAAACAGACATGCACACCATTCACATAATGAATGATACATACATATTTGAGACAAAAGTTTTAAAAATCATTTAATAATTATAATAACATTGAATAGAATGCAGCACATGTACATTTCCCGAGCATATTCACTCCCCTGTGCTGAATCCACACAGATAACAAGCAGACAAAAACCTGATTATAATGTATGAATAGGATATTTATTTTAAAAAGACGTCTGTTATCCGTAACAAATATCTTATTCAACTCAAGGATAGATTTTTATAACTGCATATTGCTCGTGGAAACCATAAAGAAATGTTTGACTGTTTAGAGAAAGATGAAATGAGTTGTCTTTGGTTAATCAAAAGAGGACAATGGAGGAAGAATTGAGTACAACATTTGGATGACAAGGAAAACTGGTAAACTCATGTTTTAATGCATGTGATCTCCTTTTCAAGTCTGACTGGGAAATAGACTTTCTGGTCGTAAAAGTCTGACGTGAGTGCGTTACTGCCAACCGACTACCCTTAACCTAGATAGCAATCAACAAGACATGTTTGTTACACTCTGGATTTTGGTTTTAACATTTTTTGTCGTAACATGAAAATGACATCTGACATCATATACGTTTTGTTTCATATACCTAATTATCGCAAGGGACCAGGATTTCTTGAACTGTTGACTCTCATATTTCGACCTTAGTGTTCTTTTAAATGGTACATAGTGAAACCCTAAATATGAAGAACGAACATGTTTAAAATAAATTTTACCTGTAATTTAGAAATATGGCATTGTGTTGTTAAAACAACGAGGAAGCAGCTTCACACCAACTTTGCATTGAAATTACAATGATTATATAGTACAGCAAAACACAACAATACCATTTTTAACGTAATCTACATGATTGACTTGTATAAATGATATTTACATTTTTCGATGAAATTAGTTTTATAACCGTTGCATGATCGTTTCATTAAACAAGTATCATGAAGTTACAAATGACAGACTCCCTTGTACGTCATGGTATCGTTCACTGGGTTTGAATTTCTAGCGTTTTAAAATGATTTCCCGAAATAAAGCCCATTTAAAAATGGTCCATATGCCAATCTTTCCCAAACGTTTGGGGATTATTTCAACGGAATCGCGACAGAATAAAGGTTGGAATTTTGTATTTATCACATGTTACATAAATATTGAATATTCTTTTTGTTACTCTGGTATCAGACTGAAACAAAAGTCCGTTCCATGATCTCATATTTAAGGCCGATAATAAGAAAAACTGTAAACATATGGATATAAATTGTTTTGTTTTGGATATCAGTGGATAACACCAATTGAATAATGTAAAATCAACCTGAGTTCTAGTAACCTAAACAAAATGGCAAGTTTATCTGTTATATATTAAAAGGTGGTTGATTTTTATATTCAAATGTATATGCCATTTGGTGCAAATGGAATAAAACAAAATTTATTGGGCTCCAACTTCCTCCAGAGTCAGAATTCGACAATATCCAAGGCATTTTTCTAATCCGAACACCTGGTTAGATAAACGAATCCCTATGGAATCCGACTTGTGGTAAACTTTGGAAAACAGCATTCCATTTTCTATATGTTGGCCAAATTATTCAGTTCCAAGAGCGTTGCGGCCAGAGAGAATCCATTGTATCTGGTTTCCTTAACTGTGACAAAGCTTATCAGAAAAAAGAAAAATGGAGACCTAAGCATATCAGAACCTTTATAATTTACACATGCGTTGCATAGCTGAAGCTTAAAAATCCCATTTTTGTATTTAGCGGAATTAAATTATTTGTTATCGGAACTATTCTATCTCTGTTCGTGTTGTCAGTGAAGCCCAGACTCTGCAACATACTGCTTCCGTTCCATTGATCTAACCGCTGATTTCACTATGTGTTCAGTATAGCTGGTGGTTTTTAAATCAAAATTAATGGTTATCAGATGTATATATAAGGAATGTTACTCATTTTCTGTACTCTGTCAAAGTGTATTTGTATTTTGGTAACTACACATGCAGGTACAGAAAGTAAATAAGGAAATTTCCAAATCATCACTGTCTCATAGTCCAAAACTTTTAATTTAACCATGGGACTCAATCTTGAACGACCAGTTTGTACCTCCACGCCGGAATGTGTGACATTTAAGATTTGCTATCATCAGCTACTGGTCTTTGTATAGCTTAGCACGGAGGGACTGATAAGTCGACTACTCGTTACTCATAGAGATAACAACAACGAACCTTACGGGTCTATTTTTGGTGGTGTATGAAGGTAAACCTGTGAAGGGCGTACAACACTATGGGTTTTCAATCGGTGTAGGTTTATGTACACCGTTTTCTTCGGAATCGAATGATTTCTACGTTCTAAGAAGACTTACAAGGATACTTTGTGCAAGTGTAATTCCATTCACACAACGAAGGTTTCGATTAGTCTCCAGGCATAATTAAGCTGACGTAATCGACAAGATACACACTTCAAAATGAACAATGACGAAAATACTCCCAGGTTAGTGTATCAAATATGTCCTGTAGAATAAGAGTTGTTATTACTCAGCATCTTGCATGCATTTGACTCCATAAGCTGCAGTTGAATAGTAATCTCCCTTTGGGGAAATCTTTTTGTCTGTCTTGGGATTAAGTGTCACAGTAATCAAAGAATGTTTGATAATATAATTCATACAAAAAGACATATTATTGTTCTAATTAGTGCAAAATATTTAACTTATCAACATACCTGTTGTTTTAACAAAACATTATAGAACCAATCTTCCTGAGGACAAAAATAGTTCACTCCAACTTATATTAATCACTCTTGTTTGCCCGGATGAAAGAGCGCGTGGGATAGTACTGTGAGAGGAAACCAGAGTAACCAAGGGTGTTATCACTGCGCCACTTTACCACCCGACGCCAAATAAGAGATCGCACACCATAACTTAATATTGTTACGTCTTGTCATCTGTACTATATAGCTGAAGGGTGAAAGTTCATGATAATTTGAAATATATATATATATTACGAAAGTCTGTGAGGATTCTACATTATCTTCTAACTCCATACAATGGAAAATCGATAAATTCAAGGAAACTTGTTTTTAAGCCATTCTAAGTGTAAGGCATGTAAGACGTATTTTTAAGACTGACTTGCTTTCCGAATCGTCCAGGTCACGGTGACCAGACCACAATATTCACATTACAGAAATATGCCACCTTTATGAATAGTTATTGGATTTTTAGATCTTAGAGGAATTGTTCTATAAAGGTATGCTTACATAAAAGTTAAATCATATCCCTATATTTCCACGTCAGTAGCTTGTCATCAAAATTTACTGTAGAGAAATCCTTGTTAGTACGTGACATAATAACTCTGGAAAAGTCTGTCATTGGTGGTCAGGAGTTTAATGAGAACAGCCATTAGTGACCCTCTTCACAATAAAAAAAAACAAAACAAAACAATAGCGTTTTCACAGACAATCATATTTAATTTGACTAAAAATCAAATTTTTTGTCTTATTTGAAACAAGTAATAAGAAAATGTAATTATTTTCTTGTGTTCGGCAAAAGTAGTTCCTGTAACTTTTCATGCGCAAGTTTAAAGGTCAATGTTACTATGCTAGTATTGTATGGTGTATAGTGATAAAACATTGTAAGTTTAAATATAAGTAAATGAAATCCAAAATATATTTGTTTTTTATTTATCTTTTTCATTTATTTTTTCAATATTTGGAAATACATGCCTAGCAACAAACTTTCCTTGTAATATCAAAATAAACAGACATTCAACTTCTTTTTAAAGAAAAATGAAGGAAGGAATTCAAGACATGTTAAAGAGTGGTATGAGGCATTGTTTGGCTCTACTGTATCTAACTGTGAATTTGTACCTAAATGTGATGTTCACTTCTGTTTCTTTTGTACAATCTTCGAAGTTGTAGGTGATATACAGCGCTGGTGAACTAAGAGCCCACGAGGTTTCCTGTAACCTGCATACCACGTTTTAATTCATTCAAATAGAAGCACGGTTCAGAATATACATATGTTCTAGAATTATCACTAATGTTGAAATTACAAAATTCATTGAATGGGGCTATTGATCATAATTACACAAAGTTATGAAAACCTAAATCCAATTGATTAACAACGTCCCACTCTCACCTATGCTTGTTTGTTTCAGGCCAAAGGCAGCTTCATTTGGAGATCTGGTATGTATTATCATTTCAGTTCTAAAGAGGAAGTTAATGTTGGTTTTAGCGATTTTCAACAATACAGCTGCAACCAAATTTAAATGTTTAACTACAAATTTATAAGACATTGTAAAAAGATTATAAGTACCCCATACAAAAACATTTGTAGACAAACATTTAACGTATTTATAAATTTTATTTGAAATGATTAAAAAGTGATATCCATTTTTATTCGCACATGGAATACTTATGATTTGCCTTCATTTTCAGTTTCGATATGCTACTTGCTTGGATAAATTTCTTATGCTACTCGGGTCACTATTCTCGATTGTGCACGGCGGTGGATGGCCGGTACTCTCTATTGTCTTCGGACAGATGACCACTGAGTTTGTGTTTGGTAAGTCATAACCCTACTTGGACACACTAGCCCACATAGGGTCACACTATTTACCTTTATGTCTCCACGAACGATTTTTTCATGTGAAAAATTTCAGGCAAAGAAATAACAAAATAAAAAAAAAAAAAATAAAAAAAATGCTTGTCCCATTATGAATAATTTCATATATTTTCAGTTGCACTGCACACCGCCGAGCTGCACGTTCGAATCTCTAGTTGTTTTTTTTTTCCGATACCATTTTGTAGGCTGACGTAAAAATACCTAACGTGCTTATTATACTCCTGGTATAAATCACGTCAAATGTTTTATATGTGTAGATGATTACTGTATTACATTTAAAAGAAAATCTATTGAATAAAACATTGTTATGTAAGTAGTAAGATTACCAATTGTTCATAATCTCAAAACATAGACTCTATAATGTATATCAAAATCTAAACTATCAGGTTAATAGCCTATAAAGTATTTGAAAAACATTGCAATATACTCGACTAACCCCTTTATACACTCACAAAATATCACCTCAATCATATTGGGTGAATTTTGAAATAAGATTGTCTAGAGTGGCGTTTGATATAGTAAAATGTTGCTGACGAATACAAGTACACTTACCTTCTAAACCAACTCATAGTCTCTTATATTTAGTCTATAATTATTCAGTCATCATACATTAAATATATTATTGAGTGTAAAATCGTTCGTGAAATAAACATACACTAGGACCCAAGGTTCAAAACCAGACATAAAACTAGAAAGGCAAAAAATCTGGGAAAACCATATGCCATTGACACGCCTTGTCAATTATTCTGAATTTAATACTAATGAAAATGAAGTTCCATGCTTGTCAAAATACTAAAAACAAAAGCGAAAAGCAAGACATAACCAACCCCTACAACAACAAAAAAAGAAAAATAAAGATAAGAATAATAAAAATTCAAACAAACAGAAACAATCTTCCCCCACCCCTCGAAAAGAAAACAATCAAATCAAAAACAAAAACAAAAAATCAAAAAATAAAAAATAAAATAGAGGAAACAAACTAAAAAAACAAATACACATTTATTTCATAACTGGAAAATTGACCATTTCCTTGTGACTTCCAGGGGAAGAATAATTGATATTATAAACGTGTATACCACAAGTTTGTATAAAAGACACAAAAGTGAATAGAACTATTAAATACAAATTAGACTTAGATACAATAGAGACAAACAATAAATTAAACTTCATCATGGAGATGATTCGTCCTTCTAGGATTCGTCACTGATCTTAATGGCATACATTTTGAAGCCTAGGAAGCGACTGAGGGAAAACTCAAAGTGATCGAAAGAAAAGTCAAACTCCTGATGGAGATGTGCACTAGCCCCACGATTCAGTATATTTCGCAATATTCGTGCATCTGATAACTTTGGATCGACGACAAGTATTTGTTTATATTCTAAACTAGTCACCATTCGTGAATTAAAACATGTCATGCCGGTTACGGCAAACTTGTCCACCACTTGCATTCTCAAAGATTGTACAACCTAGTCCATGATACGCACGGAACATTCTACATTAATTGAAAAAAGCCTATTGTAATGTAATGCTAAAAGAAATTATATAATATCTTACATTAGCATCATTTCAACAACATAAGAAAACATTTTGTCCCTAATCAGATAAATTTTACTTCTACTTATAGGTCCAGGAGGCACAAACGACACGAAAAATGACTCATCGTCTGTAGTGGTGAACAGTTCAGACTCAAACCAGGAATTCAGTGATAACATGACAAAGTATGCCCTGTATCAGGTGTACATTGGAGCTGCTGTGTTCGTGGCTGCATACTTCCAGGTAAAGCATGTCCTATGTATCTAAAGGGAGACAATAGTATTAATATACAAATTGTTATGTTCTTAATAAAACGCATTTCTTAGGGGAAAACATTGTATGAAATAACATGTGTTTTGCTGAGTATTATATAAGTTTCAAATATTTTATTTCGCCGAAGCAATTTTCAACACCAAGATCTACAGGTAAATATTTAGTAATATATCGGAAGGATACTGTCTTGTTTAACAATGTACATAACATCTATCAGGTTTGAAGAGTAAAAGAGTAAAACGCACAGTTTAATTTTGAAATATAAAAAAAAAGTCAGCACTAGATAAAAATATTTTTCATAGTTTTCTTGCACTTTGCCTGTACACGTGGATAAGTAGTTAACGTTATAATTAACGAAACGAACTTAAGTCTGTTTAATAATTTTGATATGCTAAATTTATGTGTTTCCATATATTTATACTATATCAATAACCCATTTGATTATAATGTGCAACTTTTTAAAAAAACAATCTTAATAATCTGATATTCTATTTGGGTTTGCAGCTCTATAAAGCCGTTAAATGCGACACAAATAGTTTACGGGTTAACATGTTGTACATTTCTTTCGATTGAATAAATAATTATATTTACTCTGTATCAACGTTTATGTTACAGACATCCTGTTGGACAACAGCATGCGAAAGACAGGTGAACAAAATCCGACTCAGCTTCTTCCGGTCCATATTGAAGCAAGATATTGCCTGGTTTGACCAAAAGAAGAGTGGGGAACTGACCACAAGATTGGCCGAGTAAAGACGTTTCTACTTCTTTCTATCTTTACCAATGTGTTTATTGTTTATCAATACAGATGTACGCGTTTTCTAGACCATATTCAAATTCGCGGAAATGGCTTTAGAAGGATAACTTTGGTACCAAAATATCTGTTATGAATAATTCACATGTAAAGTATTGTGAGTCTAACATGAAGTTATCCTTGCTAGAAAAATAAACCGACTGCAACTATCAGATTTTAACTTACATGGTCTTTTACATCATCAAATTATCTTAGAAATTATTTTAAGAAAAACATGTTTTTTTATTTACTCGGGTCTCTCAATTTTAGGATGCAACTAATCGCATAATTGAGTTTTCCAAGTAAATGTACCCAATTTATTAACAAAGATTTTTTTCTCGTGATACAATCTACTATAATTTACTTATTATTTATTTTAATACCGATTTGTTGACTTTCCATGTGAATATCCTATTTCCTACAGTGACCTTGAGAGGGTAAGGGAAGGTATCGGTGATAAGATCGGTCTCTGTATACAATACTTAGCAGCATTCTTCGGTGGCTTTTCCATTGGCTTCTGGAAAAGTTGGAAGATGACTTTGGTTATGATGTCGCTAACGCCTTTAATGGTCATCTGCGCAGCTATGTTTTCAAAGGTAACGTTAATTAGATCTTTAATTAACTCCCATAATTCTCACACTCGGTATATACATATTGTCTCACCACACAACATGCGATATGCAATCCTGGTACACTTCACCTATACATGACAGAAAAGTCTCTGACAAAACGATCCTTTCTTAAATCAATCAAGTATTTCAAACATTCACTACGTCTTGGTATTTAATTTTATTAAGTGGCACGAGGTGAATTATGCAATTGTACCTCACACTACATAGAATTCTTTTCTTAATTATATTCAGTCTAGAAACGAAAACAATAAAATTTGTTAGATACCTCGGTAGTGTTAGTATGGTCATTTCGGTTATGTTAAATAATCTGTCAGTGATGCACTACTTTTATCGGTTATATCACAGGTATATAAAGTACGATATGAATATGAAATGAGTATGAAATAGTTCAGATCCCTGGATACAAAAAGCCCTTTGTAATAGGTTGTTATTAATTGGAAACTAGAAACCACGTATATCAAACATATTTAAATAAAACAATGATTCTTCATTTACAGTAAATATTGTCAGAAAAAATTTCATAGCAACGAGAAAAAAAAAGTTTATTTACAGTGTTAAACGACATTTGAAACTGGTTGAATATATATATAAACTTAAAAAACTGGAAAAAAAACGATGGGCTGCAAAACACAAGCGCTTTCATTTCTTCTTCAGATGTCTTACATTGTGTACATAGATCTATATGACAACATCGATGTACACAATGTAAAACATCTGAAAAAGAAATGAAAGCGCTTATGTTTTACAGCTCATCGTGTTTTCCAGTTTTTTAAGTTTTTATGTTTTCTGGACACGGAGAATTTACCATATTTTCACTATATATATATATATATGTATATTAATTTGCGGTATGAAATATGTATCGCATGATAAGTAATTGTTTGCATGATTGTTTTTAGAAAATGCAATCGCTATCCAAAAATGCGCAAGCATCATACAGTGATGCCGGCAGTATAGCAGAAGAAGTGTTATCATGTATCAGGACAGTTATATCCCATAATGGACAAAAACAGGAACGAAACAGGTATGTATCATCCTGTTCCTATTTTAGAAGTAACAGACCATTTTCTATCCGTCCATCACTCATAGATATATTTATGTCATTACTGTAATATCGATTGGTTTTGTTTTATACGTCGGTTTGCTGTTTGGGATCCACTATTTATGATCATTACATTGGAGGTTGAATTAGCCGAATGTTGTTCACAAGGAAGAATAAAAGAGATTTTGTAAATTTTAGATTTAATTTCGATATATTTTGCGGATGTCGTAAAAATTGTTATCTGTAAGAACTTGTAAAGTATCAATGTACATAGTCATTAGATCTTATTTGAATGACAAACAACAATTCAACATCTATCAGTTCAGTTTTAGACATGAAGTATGAACAGAAGTAAAGAATAGATAGCGTACTTCCCGATTTCGTTTTCACATATTCAATTTACCTCCCCTTACCTTTTAGTCACGTATCTCCTTTCCATTGTCCATTTCCTGTACTGGAGTGTTTGTTTAAGATTTAATAATTCTGTGGTAGATGGAAGAAAATATTACGGGAAACTTCCAACCTCAGTTCTAGAGAAGCACATATATAAAAACTGTGAGCAACTGTCTGATTGCTTCTTGCCTGATATAATTGAATTATAAAATTTCAGTCATGTATAAGACCGCTTTCAGTTATAACGTCGAGTTATATAGATTTTGTTTCTGCTTGCAGATACGAACAAGCTCTGAAAATATGTAAATCGATTGGCGTGAAAAAGGGCGTGATACAAGGACTTTTAATGGGATTTGTCTTTATCACCATGTTTTCATCCTACGGATTAGCATTCTGGTAAGTTCACATACGTTCACATTTATAAATTAATTGTACTGAAAATGTTAAAATTTTTGGAGTGGATTCTCTTATTCTGTTTTTCTATCTATTTAGATATTTGCAATTTTAAAGGTCAGAATAAAACTACAAAAATCAGAAACTAAAACTAATTTCTGGGCATTTTTATAACTTCTGAAAAACGTACACCCCAACCACGGAACAAAACATAACATATACTGTTTCTTTTTTTGTATTGTATTTGTATATTTCTTCAAAGTTATTTGATGACAATAAAAAATACAAACATTTTCTACATATCAGGCCATAAAAAGAGTTAATATGGAACACTACGATAGTACTGTTAATCTGTTTGATTGATATTTTGGGAAAATAACCAACAAGAAAAATACAAACGTGTAAATATAATCATAATCCAAAGTCAAATTCAATAAACCTAGGGCAAAACATTAACAAAAAGAAATATTAACCCGAAGAATCCTAAAAATGTACTAGGAGAATAGGACCAGGTGTTCCAGAAGGGTAAGTGCTTACAAAAGGGCAAATTTATGAGCAAACCGATGATTAAATTCATGGAAAACAAATTCTCATTCGTAGAAAAAAAAACAGTTTTTGAACTTGATCTGCAGAGTAAAATTACCTATTACAAACAGTAGATGGTAATGGCTGCTCATTAAAATGCATTTTTAAAAATTTTCTATGCGCCTTCTGCCCTTTTTGTAAGAAAATAAAAACTGCTTATTGTTGAAAATGAGAAAGATGATATCGACTTGTCAACAGAACCTTAATTCAAACTCGAATTCCATTAAACTATGGCAAAATATTAACAAAAATGGGTTTTACAAGGAGTGCCGTTTAAATTTACAATTATGCTAAGGTATTTTGTCCTCTTTTGATAAGGTCTTACATAAATCCAGCCTTCTATCAAAACACAAACAAACAACCTAAAGAGGGGCCAATTTGTCACCATAGGCGAATCAGTGGAGCCCCAATTGTCAGGAAAAATAATTGCATTCTGAAATTGCTAATATTCATATATTTTGTACTGATTTTAATATCAAGTCATAAGTTTTTAACTTATTGATTTGCATCGAACTAAAAGTCAATAATTTCCTACCTGTAAGCCTACTCAATTCGAGGTATTTATTTCTATTTCTATGGGAAGTGTTTGGGAAATGAGGCCTTTTTCGTTACGTCTCCCTTGCGTTGTATGTGCAAACATGGTGTTTGTTGACGTTTCGATTTCGAAACACTGATTCCACTTTCGGAGATTTCTAACATATGTACTTCACTTTGAAGGTACGGGACTGAACTGGTCAAGGATTATTTTACCAGTAACGGAGTTGAAGGTATAGAACCAGGAACAGTTTTAACTGTAAGTTAACTCAAGGGATTGTGTAATAAAAATAAAGAAAATACTTAAATTAAATATGAATAAAAGAAAGATTTATATGCAGGCTCCAGAAAAAGAATAAAGAGGGTAAGAATATATGTTATTTGATTTATCAACATTCGTCACTTCTGTCTGTAATCATATGGCAATACTGTGTTTAGGAGATACTAGGAATAAGTATAAATTACTACAAAACATTAAGTTTAAGTGTATTGAAAAAGGCCGGATTCAATATTTAAGTTGCCATTTCTATTTGTTGTTCTTAAATAGGTCTTCAAAATAAGACGAAAATGTCATTTTGATTTATTTTACAAATAATACATATAAGCGTTATTGTGATAAATAAATAATTAAGCTTTTTCCCTGCTCCAAACTGATGTAAAATGGCATTAGGATTACTATACATTGTATTCTGTATCTGTCAACCTACTGAGACATACTGATATTTCATCAGATTTTTATGCAGTCGAAAAAGGACCGCAAGATTACTCATTTGTCAGCTTTTCTAATTTTCGAAGTTATTAAAAATTCTTATTTCTTCTGCACTTGATTTCGTACATAAATATATATCTTAATACTTATATATAGTTATATGTAAAAACAACTTATACTTAACACAACAATTCATAGATCCGGAGTACCCACGAAATCAATTGCCTTCGAAATTAATCATTTTACAGTACTCCTAACTTAGTTCGTAGTATCAAATATTTTACATCGATATTGGGTAAGAAGGTAGATTCCAATTCCGCTACAAATTATTGGTGTTGTACAAATATACATATAATACAGGATAGTCTAACGACCTTTATTTATCATAATAGTATACATGTTGTTTATTTCAAGGTATTTTTCTGTGTTATGATTGGATCGTTCTCAATTGGAAATGCAGCGCCATCTATAGGCAATGTTTTCATCGCCAAGGGCTCTGCAGCAGTTCTGATAGAAATCATTGATCGTGTAAGTAAAACAAATCTGAAAAATTTTGGGTGACAATTGACATTTATATCGTACTTATGCCATAAGATTGTAAAGGCATTGTAAACAGAATTAAAATGCTTTTCAACGAAAACAAATTTTAAACGATCTCCACTCCAAATGAGCTCATACATTTCAGAGTATGTAAATTTCATTTTTATTTTTTGGAAAGACGAGACGGCTGTATGATGTAGTTTAATTCATTATTTGACTCCACTATTCCTAATTCTAAATCTGTAAAACTTTCCAAACGTACATATATATGTATTCTTGTAAACTCCCATCAGTTTACGGCTTACATTTGGAATCGATGATATCGAGGATGACATATACGCTCATCGCCGATATAAAACTAAAAACCAATTTACCAGAAAATTATTAGTCTTTATGTTATTAATAACAGGATTATAGCATTTAACACTTTTTTTTTACTTTTTTTTCCGTTAAAAAATTTACCATTCGTTGACCGTAGGAAGAAATTCGAAAAAAATCGTAAAAATGATAAGTCAGATGTATCTATATTTTTCAGACTGTACAAAAAGCTGAATGCCTAAATTTTGAAGCCTAGGAGGCAACCGAATCTAAATTGATAAAAGAAAATATTTAAATCTAGATGGGGAGGTGCACTGGTCTCATAATTTAATGAATTTTATCATTTTAAAAGATAGTCTTGTACTTGTGTATATTCTGATCCGTGCTACTATTAGCATAAATTAACACTCATCGTGAAAAATGGGCATTGTTTTGGGTACTTGCTCCACGTCATAATTCATTTGAATAAAGGCACAGTTTTGTTTTAACGTCATTCAATATTGCAACTTTAGAAATTTATTGAAGTGAGTGGTTAATGCAACTCCCAGACTGGTTATAGATATCTATTTTTCCTCATATGTCTTAGAGGGCTCTACGATTTAATCCCTTAGCATCACTAAGGAGACAAACATCTGTACGACTCAGTTTAGCTCATTATTTAGCTTTACTGTACATTTCTAGTTGTATGAAAAAACACTATCCACTTGTGTTCCTTTCGTACAATTGTTATTACTGTTTTACTTCAGGAGCCTGATATCGATGCTTCGTCTCCTAGAGGTCAGAGACCGCCAAATATTGACGGGAATATAGAGTTAAAGAATATTTTCTTTTCTTACCCAGAGAAGGAAAAGCGTCCAGAGACAAAGGTAGAGGTTTATATGATTCTATATCGTTGATATCCTGTGACGTGCTTGAGTTAGAATTCGGAGAAAAATGCAAACATGGAGCTATGCTAACTTTCTTTAATCATATTTCATCATGAAGTTTTTCGTCGCCTTAGAAAGCCTTGGATATGAAATCTTTGGCACTATTAGAAATAATTTCTTAATTAACCTTGGCAAAATTATGGTAGGTAACACTAGTCTTTTGCGTGTCTTGGTGGTGAGGGTGTGTGAGTGTATGTGTGTTTGTGTGTGTGTGTGTGTGTGTGTGTGTGTGTGTGTGTGTGTGTGTTATTTCTTTTTTTCCAAATTACAGGTTAAAATGTTACCTGCAACAATATACAAAAATTAACGTCTATGATTTTGCTAACTTGTAAAGCATCTATACATGAGAAGATGTGTATGTGAAAGTGAGAGATACATAAGTGAAGGAAAAGAAAATAATCCAGAATTTTGTTGATTAATTCATTTCTTGTGCGATTCTAGGTTCTAAAGAACTTTAACATGTCTGTAAAGCAAGGCCAGACTGTCGCGTTAGTGGGGCCCAGCGGATGTGGCAAGTCGACCGTAATGAGCTTGCTACAGAGACTATACGACCCAAAAAGTGGAGAGGTAGGTTATATACTGATCAAATAGAAAAAACAATCCTTGCAATTTAGTATAGTCCTGTATGATGACACATAAAACTTGCTAACGACCAATCCTGAACCTGTTTCTAATGTTTTAACTACGATGTACTTGCTAGAAAACAGATCTAGAACCATTCTCAATATTTCATTGTAGTTTGATTAAAATAAAGATGGAAAACTATTAGAAACTCACACATCAACAAAAATCTGGCTCACACCGATGACCCTGATATGATGAAGATGATGTGTTTTTTCAGGTTCTCCTTGACGGTGTAAACCTTAAAGATCTCAACGTGGCTTGGCTGAGACGAAACATAGGAGTCGTGTCGCAAGAACCTATCCTGTTCGGCTACTCAATAACACAGAACATTCGACTCGGAAACCCGAGCGCAACCAACCAGGAGATAGAGGACGCAGCAAAAGCTGCAAATGCACATGATTTTATCGCAGCTCTACCAGAGGTAAACGAGAGAGAGAGAGAGAGAGAGAGAGAGAGAGAGAGAGAGAGAGAGAGAGAGAGAGAGAGAGAGAGAGAGAGAGAGAGAGAGAGAGAGAGAGAGAGAGAGAGAGAGAGAGAGAGAGAGAGAGAGAGAGAGAGAGAGAGAGAGAGAGAGAGAGAGAGAGAGAGAGAGAGAGAGAGACAGATAGAGACAGATAGACAGACAAAGAGAGAGAGAAAGAAGAATGGGGAAGGGAGGGAGAGTTACGAAATTCGTACAAAAGGTACTCTGATCTATCTAACGCATTTGCTGTTCATTCAAATTGATCATTACAATAATTAACATTACTATATTACTACATATGTATCACATTGACAATCTGCTTTGACAGCATATATTCTTAAGTACCTCATTAATAATCAAAACATTATCCCCAGGGGTATAACACAATGGTTGGCGAGAGAGGTGCACAGCTCTCCGGAGGACAGAAGCAGAGGGTGGCTATTGCGCGTGCCCTTGTTCGGAACCCCCGCATACTCCTCTTGGATGAAGCGACATCAGCCCTCGATTCCAAGAGCGAGAAAATCGTTCAGGACGCTCTCGATAAGGTAAGAAAGGACACATTTAAATTCGTTACGCCGAGTCTAACAGACATATATGAAATCTTAAAATCATGTTCTCTATTTAACCTAATACTTTCACTGAGATAAAGATCTTAATTGGTCTTTAATCATCTTTTACTCGAAAATCTAAATCATCTCATTTCATGGAATCTTTGAAACATACAAAAAAATCTTGGTAGCTCTCTTTTTAACTTTCTTTTAAAATACCGTCAATGAGATAAAAGTTCACAAGTGATCTTAAATTTTAATTTGTTACGGGGTTGGAGGAGAGGGGGGGGGAATATTAAATAAATCATGTATTTTAACTAATTTAAACGTCTCAAAGAGATGCTAAGTATCCATCGAGCAATAATTGAAAATATTTGCCATCGATCTGCAGTGATGAGAATTTACTTTAATTTGCCATTTCAGTTAAGCCGTAATTTCAAATTACGGAGATAATATATAAAATTGAGATCATATTATCTACTTACTGGTCGCTGACAAAGGCGACGCGTCATTACGACAACCAGTTCAACTGAACTCTACAATGTTTAGAACATAAAAATTGTTGGTATTAAACATACTGATAGAAAGTTTCAATGACATTTAAGAAATCTCAAAAGAAAGATTTGAGAATTCAAAACAGTTTTAATATGTTGTCCGAGAACTCAATTATAGTTCGTGATAAATTCCACATTTACCAGTCTGTTTGTTACTACAGAATACATAGAAAATATATATGGTGTTATCAAAAGAGACACAAACATAAAAGATACATTCAGAATGTAGGTTGATTAGATAAACTTAACTCATGAATTTTCATTTATTTTCTATGTAAGATCGTTTTTGCTTATTCGATTTCCGTATATCGTTAATTCAATAACCTAACTTTTTGATAATAATTTGAGATACTTAATCCAACTTATTAGATATTAACTCGACATGATCGAGAAATTGGCCCTAAATAATGTGATAATGTCCCAATGATTTGAAGTAATATCCCGAAATATTGAGATAACAACTCGAAATGATTTAAGATGAAAATAAAACCCATTTGGAAAGTAATACACTTTTGTATTTAACAAATAACTTTGACACATTTCATTATGCAGGCTCGAAAAGGGCGGACAACGATCGTTATTGCACACAGACTGTCGACAATACAGAATTCTGACGTCATTTACGTGGTAGACGATGGCAGAATATTTGAGCAAGGCACACACAGCGAGCTGATGGACAAACAAGGACTCTACCATGAGTTGGTAATGGCACAAGCTCTAGCGGAGGGAGAAAGCGACGACGAAGACCATAATGAAGACGATAGCAAGCCTGTAGACGAAAGAGAAGAAAGGGATTCAGGTACAGTGGAATTTTTGGATAAAGTTGTCTTATAATTAAACCCACATAAATGTAAGATTGGCATTTTAGCCCAAAATATACCATGAGCAAATAAAAAGGAATGACCGACACGAGAAACACTTTTCGGGTTTGAATATGAGATATTATTCTTTGACATAAATAGTGGTTGCAAACTGTATTGCTGCGAGTTTTCGAAATCATATGTTACCTTTATCATGCAAAGTATGTTAATGACCATCTATAGAAAACAGCTCACTGTTTGGTTAATGATCGAAAGTGTAGTTATTTGTCAATTTGTCAAAACAACACTCATCTTAAGCAAGCAGTTTGAGGGTTCATGTTTCATTTATTTCACCCCATAACGTCTGCGCCTTGCGTCATCAAGATGACTCAAACAGTGCCCACTTAATTTTTGTTCTTCACATTGTTCCTAACGTATCTAGATTGATTCCTTGATCTCTCGCATTTCCCATATATCCTCTTTCTTCAGTAGCCTGGAGTTATTCCAGTCTGGAATGTGGTTGTACAAATTGACATGATCTATGATGGAGTATGCCATCTGATCAAATACAGGCAATTATCGCAGATTTGGAAGCCCACACGACACCAAATGAAGATGACGCAATGAGCAATAAATGGAATAAAAAAATCAATGAAATTTTGTGTGTTTTTAAATGTTTATACACGTTCTTTCGAAGTCAGACGTAAATGTCAAAATAAGTTTAGATAAGAAGAGACAGAATTGTAGTTTTTGGTAAGATAAGGCATAGTTCGTCTCTTGAAACATTGGTATATTAGAATTTGTAAGTATGTATATCTTATTTGTTCACTTTGAAGCTGCCGAATTAGAAATAGGACAAAGCCACACAGAAGCTAAATTCAAGGCCAAAAGATCAAGAAAAGTGTCATATCAGTCATCAACCTCTGACAAACCAGTACGACAAATCTCCCGACAAATGTCTCGCCAAATTTCAATCAACGACAAAGGAAAGACGGACAACGAGAGCAAAGAAAAAGAGGTAGGTTTCTCTATTTAGACACTATCAGCTGATTAGCAGTTATTTATTCAGATGAAAAGGTTTTGTCTTGTACTCGTGAAATGTTAATGATTAATAATTGAATACGCATGTACATCATAAGATTTGACAATAAATATGATATATGTTTTAAGAAACAAGACGATGCACTAGATATATGTGCTCAGCTTTTTCTGAATTCGAGGTTGTTTTTACAACAGATTTAGAGGTTGAAGTGCCTGATATTTGCGAGATGATTAGAGCAAAATTTCATGATATGATATCCTTTTCACAGTGTATTTGCAAGTGTTGTATACATTAGTTACAGTACAAGACAATAGTCAGTTTGTATAAGAGCATATCATGTTCAGTATATCCTTTTAACAATCACCAGGAAATTGAAGAAGAAGAATATGACCCTCCGAAGTATTTACGTATTTTACGGGAGAATGCTCCAGAGTGGCATTTTATTTTGCTTGGCTGTATCGCCTCAGGGATAGGTGGATGCACGATGCCAGCGTTTGCCATATTCTTCAGCGAAATGATTAAGGTAACGTATAAGTGGGTGTGTGGATTGGTGTGTAATTTAAGAAACGATTAAACAATTTCACTTTTTATCAACAGCATTGTCTTTATCTGATACAGTATGAACATGTTGCTTACTGCATTCTAGGTGTTTATCAACCAAGGAGAAGACAGTGTATTGTGGAGCATGATGTTCGTCGGTCTCGGTGTTCTAAACTTCATTGTTCAGCTGATATCGGTATGTAACCAAGTTAATGGTAGACTTTACCTACTATGCATAATCTTAAACATCGTTAACATTTTGTTATTAAACCCAGCATTAAACAGAATCAACGTTTTACATCAAGAAAAACAAAGAAAGTACTCCAACCTCAAATTCAACAAAACAAGTGCAAAATGTGAAGAAAAAGTTTAACTGAAACTCTTGGAAAAGTACAAGAAGAGTAAGACACAGTGTTCTGGAAAAGTAAGCATCTTCTGTTTAATCGACGTTGCCTTCCATGTAAATATTGGTCAGTTCAAGCTAGTAATATTATGTTTTCAAAGGAGAACAACGGAACCAAATTGTATACAAACACGCCCAACTTCATATCACACAAAGAAATAGAATATTTCTCAATGAGATCGCCTTGAGGAACGTTTAACTTCCCTATCATCAACCTACATCTTTTGAAACCACGTGTTTGTCCGTCATTTGACGACTTCTTGCACGAAAATCGTGATAATTGCCCTCGAATAACGGTTCAAATTAGACCTGTCAAAATCAGAGGTTGTGGATGGAAAATTCACAATAGGGAAATTGAAATCGTCACGGCTATCATACAGCTTGGTGGAGAGCTGTCCATGTTCGGTTTCGTTGTATGAAAAGATCGAGATAAGCGGCTGATGTAAAAGAGTCTGTCGTGTCGTTGATTTACTATTCTTGTAGGTATATATGATGAACGTGATCAGTAAATTTCTTGTTAATCGAAAAAAGACATCATCAGTATATTTGAAAGTGAAATTAAACGTCTTGACAAGATTGCAAAACCAAATCTTATAGAAGCAATGTCTTTCAGGAAAGGGTGTGGAGGATTGGTCAAAAGCTCATTGGAATTCTCTGAAATTTACATACTATTAATTCTGCTTCTTGACTATTCAATATCACAGTAATACTGTAACCCAGACAGACGGGATTTTACGTTTTTAAGGACACTTCATGAAAAACTCTCGTAGCTTAACATTTGGAATAATGCTTAAATCACGAGTTGCTATTTGCCAAGTTTGACGATAATTAAAGAGGTAGAACAAGAACAAGTTGACAAAGGACTAATTCTTAGGTCATCTACATTCAGTTGTTGCAGCGTTTGTTTGTAGTTGAAAAGTTTGGTTACAATGAGTTTGGAATAACTGAAGGAAATAACAGATGTATTCCTGTTTTGAAAGTATGTTGGAATGTCCGCGTGAACAAACGTGGGTGTAAATCATTGCTTATGTTTATAACATACACTTCTTTATATGCAAACTCAACCTTTATCCATCGGCGAATTGTTGGAGGATATCGGCTATCTGTGCGGACAGGTTACGAATATTTGACAGCAGATTATTTAAATTGCGAAATTGAACTCTTGGTGAAAATCAGTTGTGAAGAATATATATATAATAGAATATTTTGTTTGTTCTTGTAATGATTCCGTGTTGTCTATTTATTTATTTTCTTGTTTTGTAGAATGTTTGTTTTGCCCACTCTGGAGAAAACTTAACATTGCGCCTTCGTTTGAATACCTTTAGTGCCCTGTTACGACAGGATGTGGCTTATTTCGATGACCCAAGGCATGCCACTGGTGCCCTGACCACAAGACTTGCTACAGACGCCACTCTTCTACAAACTGTAAGATTGATGCATTGTGTGTTGTATAAATCCTTAATAGTATTGCAAAACAGATACCATAAGATCATTTCTGATGTGGCAAATTCATCCTGTACATGGAAAAATGACGAATTATGGTACCCTTTTCATACTTTTTCATTATATATTACACATTGCCGTTATTAATTAATTAGATGATTCAAAGATAAATTTATGGAAAGTATTGAAGGTATGATATTTAAACAAAACCTTGCCATGAAGCCATTTTTACACATATAGTGTGACGTCATATCATTACCATGACATGAAAATCTCCACGTCTGTGAGACATGGAAATGTCATGCCTGTAAAATGGCTGTATATACCTGTCCAGGGTTAAAAAATAGAACGTTAATATTTACCTTTTAGTCAGATTACATTTATACTGAAAATAATCCTGTATCTCTATGATATAGTTGTTAGGCTTAAGTTTTCAGCTAGCTGTAATTTGAATAAAGATACAACAATATCGTGTGCCCTGTTTAGCTTGACTTTGTGACACATTATTCGTTCAAATATCGATATGACATCATTTTCTCCTTTTTTTCACATTTTTAGGTCACCGGTATACGGTTATCAATCATTGTGTCATCTTTCGTGTCTCTGGTCGCAGCCCTAGTCATATCTTTTATCTTCGGATGGAAACTTGCTCTCGTCGTCTTGGGTGGAGTACCTATTCTAGCTGCAGCTGGTACATGGTTTATTTATAGATATCTTATATACAGTATAATTGTTTTAATGTTTGTGACAACGATGTACATTTGACCACAATTATATTTTCACTGAATAATCCCTAAAGTTATCATCTGGCTCGGGAATCATGACACCATCTTAAATGCTAAGCCAATCACAAATGACGTCTCTTATCTTGACGTTATCGTTTTGCTAAGCCAATCACAAATGGCGTCTCTTATCATGACGTTATCCTTTTATGACAATGCGGCCAGGGCTTCTCGTTAACATCCATCAAAGCAGCGTTTATTAACATAGGATGATCATAGGCATTGCTATAATATCAATTAACATTACAAATCAAAAATGTTACCGATGTTTCAGTTTTAAGTTTGTTTTATCATTCCATTCCAGGATATTTACAATTCAAAGTTATCACTGGACAACACAAAGGAGACGAGAAAACATTAGAGAATGCTGGAAAGGTATCTAATTTTCCATCTACCTGAACTATGACTGTAGTGTTAGTTTATTTCATGGTGTTCGTGTTAAGGAATAATTTAAATCAAGTTTTAAAATTGTATCTTTTACGTGTATAGAAACTCGATATTTTATGTATAAATGCATGATATTTTACATACAGTTTGGGAAAACAGTCTCTGAGGTGACCAAAAAAATGATATTTCTAAATAAGATATTCCTAGTAGAAAGGAGTAACTGCCTGTGTATACGAAAGGCTGGTGACTTCTTCAAAATTAACTTTACAATATGCGTTCGTGTACCACATTAGAGATAAACTATCTGTTGAATTAGATGGAGTCGGGACATAAATACTTAGCCATTCAAAGATCGACAGATACTTTTGTTTTGTCAAATGACGCAAGAAAAAGTATACTTCTATGTTGAAATACCTTTTGTTACTTTGTGAACAATATGCAAAGTGTACAGAACTGCTTTAGTGAATCTCCAACTGAATTTAGAATTTATCTGAATAAAGGAATTTGTCATCACAACATTTATTTATGTTTTGAAAACTGTCATGTCTGGTTTTAACTGCTGAATTGTTACCAAAAAAATCACCAATATACATGTATATTTTACCAAAATCTTCTGTATGTTATATACTCAATAAGCACTTGTACCACCATTTGTGTCTTTAAGGTGGCTAGTGAAGCAATAGAGAATATCCGAACCGTACAGACGCTGTCCAGAGAGGAATTCTTCTTTAAAGAATATTATGACAGTCTAAAAGGACCACTCCGGTATGTAGAATAACACCAAGTATTTATTTATCTTTAGTTGGTTCCATGTTCTCTTCATGTTTCACTTCAGTGAAGGATAAAAAAATGTGTGGTCTGTTCAAATCCACGACAAAAAAACAATATTCTCTTTCAAAGTAAATTATCCTAATGTCATTTAGATAATTTATTAACAATATAAATTTTAACACAATGAATTCAAGCGAACAGACAGAATGAAAAAAAAATAATCAAAGTGGATGAGTCAAAAATTTCAAACAGAAATGTTTCATGTTATAATTTTCCAACAGAATTATTCTGTTCTTATTAGGATGATGTAATTGTGGTCATTTTACACATGGAACACTAAAGTTTTCATGGTCAATTTCTTGCAGGACTTTCCTAAAACAAGCTCAAATGGCTGGCTTTGCTTTCGGTTTCTCACAAGGGATTATTTTCATGATGTATGGTGGAGCTTTTAGATTCGGTGCCTGGCAAGTTGAATTAGGAGACATGGAACCTTCAAATGTTTACCGGTATGTCACTTTTAAACTAATTTTTACATGTAACAGCTGTTGTGATTTTGTTTATATTGTATTCACCTGATGTCCACCACAATATACTTCATGCAAAAAGTTTTGGCAGAATTCAGGATATTGACTTTAGTAAACGCATCCAGGTAAAACAGCATCTACAAATATATTTAATTCTAATGATAATGTTTTTCTGGCACTATGCATTGTTGGAAGAATGTTTCGGAGCACATGGATTGCAAATCAAATTTTAATATTCCAAGATGCTACAAGAAGGGCATTCTCTCAATTTTTTTTTTATTTTCAAATTCACACAGAAGAGTGTCTTATCTTTAAAATATGCCAGAATATTATAAACATGATTTCTTCCATTTCCAGATATCCAGATGTTAACTTATGTTAACTGTTAAATGTAATGAAAACAAATCTTGTTTACTTGTTTCAATTCATTTATTTGATTAAAACATAAATGGACTGCCATAAATCTTGTAAAACAACGCTTTAAAAAAAAATGTAAAATCATAAAAGCGTGGCTACCAGTAATATCCATTTTATATCTAGAGTTATGTCCCTTCAACAGAAAATATGAAAAGAAAGTGAATGTTCCCGGCTGTTTCACAAAGTTCATTACAAAGATATGACGAAAATATCAATATGTTTTGTTGGTACTTCACTGATAACAAAAATGAAGATAATTTACACAGTAGACTACAAACATTGTAACCAGAACATCTATATGTATTGCACAAAGCATCCGTTAGGACATCACAACTTCATGACATCTTAAGCGACCAGCAATCATGTTCACACATCTCGTCACCTCAAAAACAACAATTTCGGTCCTTATCACTGACAAGTCCTGAAAGGACGAAACAGTTGTTTGATGCAATTTTAATTGTCTTCTGCTTTTTCCATAACTAAATTTACCAAAAGGTTGAAATGTGTTTTTCATTTGTGTACAAAATTTAGTGAAACCACGTTCACTGTACAAATTAATTTGGCAAATCAACATTAATGGGTCTATCAATGGTAGTACACGGTAAAGAAATATCCTCAAAGTTCATTTAAATGATATATTCAACAGCATATTTCTGTAGTGGTTACTTCAAGTTTGATCACCAATGTTGAATATAAATACAGTGTCACAATTACAGCAGAATTTAAACATAGCAGTCAACAAATAGATGTAATTGTTGAAAGTTATGAAACTGTTTAGCATTATACTGTGCTGTTAAAACAAGGTAACACCTTAGTCTTGCAATCATAACTTTACCTCACAGGCCAGACAAAAACGCATAACTGTTAATCTTACTAAAATTTAACCGGCAAATCCATGTGTATACTGATCATGAAATGAAATAGGCCATGCACTGAAAATTGAATCATGATAAAATGACTTTCAAGGTCTAATGATAACAAGACATGTAGTCAATGAAAGTATGAGATCATAATTGTTTTTTAGCGGAAGATATGTTTATTATGATACAATTTTGAAAAGATGATGGAATTATCATTTAAAATGTCAATAAATTGATATAATCATTCACAACTGCTTAACACATCATTTAAGCATTAATGATCATTGTATAAATTTGGTCACGGTTCATTAAAAAATAAAATATAAGCAGTATATACAATGTAAACATGATACAGTAATATGAACTTCATATACTTTGAAATCATACATTTTTGTGGGGCTGAATTTTTGTGGTTTTCCAAGATAAATGATAGCTAAATCAATCTTTCATACTTATTCTGGCAATTCATGAATATATGAATTGGTGATTAAGGTACCCACAAAATATATGAAAAAAATCACCCAGGAAAACTTGTGATTTTAAAGTAAATGATTAATCTCGCAATTAACATGATCACCATTTAAAATGAATTTGTGAATAATTTGACGGGGGATGACAACCCCTTCTTTAACGCAGGAAATTTCGAAAAAAGGACAAACCCTATATGCCCATATAAATCAACTGTTACAATGCATTTAATGCACAACCGGTAAAAAATGTTAACAACATAGAAAAATGTAGAAAACACGAAGTAAATTTAGTGGTATCGGGATTCTGTAAGCATACCTAATTTGGCGCAATGACGTTTTATCGCATTTTCACATTTTGGCAAATTAGTGCTATGATGTAATTTCACATTGACATCACAATTAGTGGAATCATATTTTAGTGCAGTACTTTTAGCACAAAATGCGCTAAAATAAGATACTGCTAATATATGTATGCCTTACAATATACATCGCTGATCTGATATGTAACATTTACATTCATATCGTAATATTATAACTCTGGCCATTTATGCTTGAAACTAATGACAAACAGTTGTTGGCAGTTCTCAAAATTACACCATCAGTGATACAAAATAATACAAAAAGCTTAATCACCGCATAGCGTAGTGATTATTGACAATATAATGCAACAAAAACATCTTGACGCATCATTCACAAAAGCTATAAGTCAAACAAATAGTATTTCTCCAACCAGGGACACACAAGATATGATGGGCCTTCAATAAAATCTCATTAAAATTAATTATTCTTTAAAATTATAGTATAGTAACCACATCTAAAACTGTCAAAAACTGGTAATCACCGGTGCAGATGATATATGTTTAATACAGACATGTGCTTCATGTGCTGAAAGCAATGATACAATATCAAAGCGAATTAATTTGCATCTCTTCATATGTCTATGTCTTTCATTTTTATGCTGAGAAATTGTTTGTCAAGGTAATTAACAAATTACAAAACTCCTTGGAAATACATAGTGGTAAGTTATACTAAATAAATCATACCTGATTTTGAACTTCTCCAACGAATCAATTGAGGGAAAATTAATTACAATTGTGATAAATAAAGAAAATTGAAGGGATAATGAGTTTCGCAGGAAAAGTATTATCTTTTAATCAGATGGAGCAAAATTAATTCTTTCCAAATGAACATTCTTGTATGCAACATTCCAGTTTCTAGAATTCTGTTTATCAACAAAAAAAAAATAATAAATCAAGCTGCAAGCAAAGGGAAATAACTCTCTGTGCCTTATGTAGAAATACCTGCAGTGTACATAGATGCTACATTAAAAGATGTGCAGTTTCAAGATCGTCATTGTGAGGTGCTAAGAAAGGCAGTATTGCACAAAAGGTATTCACATATAATTCAGAAATATACACGAAATATTCATGCTGAAAAACAAAACTGAACTTTTACTAAGAACAGGTGAGATCAGTTTGTCTAGGTTATCTGATCTTTTATAATCATTAAACTTACAAATAAATTCTTGTTGTTATGTATATCTTGAGGCTTAAGATGAGTTGATATTAGGAAGAAGCAAGGCTATGATTTGAGTCGTGAAGACTACTACACGGGAACATTCATAACCTCCAATGTCTCATAAATTTGGTTGTCTACTGATTTTTGACAATATTTCTCCATTCAAATATCCCCTTGTAGTATTATGGGTGGTATTCTGGTATTGACAAGGTACTTGGTTTATAATCAATATCTCCTGGGAACAAAAGACTTGAGATAATTCTGATAAAATCCCATTTTTTACATAAGTCTGTATTTAGTCCTGTCAAACCAAAAATATCATCCAACAATTCTCTCCTGTCTACCATCTGTTCCATCATTTATTAGCTGGTGGTTAGGTCACCTGTCTGACCTTATGTGAAATGACTTGTAACTATATCCCATATGGAATAATGCCAATAAATGGATTGGCTACACAATGAGGAAATTTCTCCAAAAAATTGATTCTGAGTGCTTTATCACTGCAAACACTTTAAAAAAAATCCAGAGGGAAGGGGGAAGGAAGCATGGACAGGTATAGGTATTGCGAAGACATTTTTTTGAACATTACATCAATCATATTAATAACATATATGTCTTCATGTTATTTATGAAATATTTCATAAATGATTGTGATGGAGTTTAATTGATTTCACAAAGTATAATGAAAAAAAAACACAGAAAGAAAACAAAAATCTGGCAGTAAAATTAAAACAAAAAATTACTACAGAACAAAACATTACAATCTCAAAGGAAAAGATTTTCCACCATTGTCTTCATCAAAGTAATCCCTTATACTTAATGCAGAACATTTTTAGAATGCATCTAATTAATTAATTAAGTTTTGTTATTCTGATTTATCTGTTAAAATATATGTATTGACTCATTGCACATAAAAGTATGAAAAGTGAATTCTGCAAATTTACAATTTTATGTACATATGTCAATTAGTGAAATTTTAAACCATTAAGACTGTCATATTTTGGTGCCCACAATCTTAAGACCTTCTTAAGTTCCCTGTTAAATGTTTCCCCTCATTTCCTGTATCATCAAATCATGACATCATTTCTACACATTTCCTAGTTCTTTCAAAGTTCTCATTTGATCTATGGAGGAAAAATCTTTAAACAAAGTGTTCTTTATGGAAATAATAACAAAAGACCAAGGGATTAACAAATACCAGATGGTGACATGTTGTATCTGATGTAGTGTAATGAGAAACTGCTCAATTCAATATAAGGTCAAGATAATTCAATATATTAATGTAGAAAGACCTTGATAATTTTTCCTGTCAAAGAGTGACAAAACTTAACAGGGATACACATACTTGTAAAGCATCCGCATGTTAACATGTCATACAACATGAAATAAAAAATTATCCAAGCTGGGGATGGGGGAAAAAACGAAAATATTGGTTATCAAGAATCAACTGACATGAATTCTCCTCATCTAGGTATTAAATTACATTTGTGTTTATATGAAATCATTAAGTAATTGAACTTTTCAGCATTAAATAAACAAACAACATGTCTGTAAACATTCACTGGTGATTGGAATTACATAATCGATCTGAAATTAAATATTATGGGGCACATATTTGACAAGTATCAGTACACTGTAATATATATATATATATATGGATATTTATCAAAATTGCGATTTCAGCATCAATTTCTCATTATGTTATGGCATGCTTCAATCAAGGATTTGATGCAACATTAATCCACAGAGAATTGACTGTTATTGGTTAACCTTGGCAATGTTGGTTAATGGTAAAGTCAAACTGAATTGGTATACTTATCTTAAACCATATACTGCCAGGTATGTGTATTAAAATTTGTTTTTGGTCTGTGGTCTATGTGCTGATCTTGACCAGTGGTCTATTTTTCTTGGTCAGTGGTCAATACATTGTTCTTGGTCAGTGGTCATTGCATTGTTCTTGGTCAGTGGTCTATGTGTTGTTCTTGGTCAGTGGTCTATGTGTTGTTCTTGGTCAGTGGTCGTTCTTGGTCAGTGGTCTATGTGTTGTTCTTGGTCAATGGTCTATGTGTTGTTCTTGGTCAGTGGCCGTTCTTGGTCAGAGGTCTATGTGTTGTTCTTGGTCAGTGGTCAGTGCGTTGTTCTTGGTCAGCGGTCTATCTGTTGTTCTTGGTCAGTGGTCTATGTGTTGTTCTTGGTCAGTGGTCCTTCTTGGTGTTGTTCTTGGTCAGTGGTCTATGTTTTGTTCTTGGTCAGTGGTCTATGTGTTGTTCTTGGTCAGTGGTCCTTCTTGGTCAGTGGTCTATGTGTTGTTCTTGGTCAGTGGTCGTTCTTGGTCAGTGGTCTATCTGTTGTTCTTGGTCAGTGGTCTATGCGTTGTTCTTGGTCAGTGGTCTATGTGTTGTTCTTGGTCAGTGGTTGTTCTTGGTCAGTGGTCTATGCGTTGTTCTTGGCCAGTGGTCTATGTGTTGTTCTTGGTCAGTGATCTATGTGTTGTTCTTGGTCAGTGGTCTATGTGTTGTTCTTGGTCAGTGGTCAATGTGTTGTTCTTGGTCAGTGGTCTATGCGGTGTTCTTGGTCAGTGGTCAATGTGTTTTTCTTGGTCAGCGGTCTATGTGTCTTTCTTGGTCAGTGGTCTATGCGTTGTTCTTGGTCAGTGATCTATGTGTTGTTCTTGGCCAGTGGTCTATGTGTTGTTCTTGGTCAGTGGTCTATGTGTTGTTCTTGGCCAATGGTCAATGTGTTTTTCTTGGTCAGCGGTCTATGTGTCTTTCTTGGTCAGTGGTAGATGTCCAACCACAGAAATGTTGAATTTGTGCAATATTTTCTTTATCTTAAGTCATCCATAGCAAGGTCGATTTCATTATCATCAACGGCCACCTGTAGTTTCATTTCATCCACATTTAGTGCATCAATCACAGACTTTTTGAGCATCATGCCTTCAATTAATTCATTCAGAAGTCCAGATCTTTCATCAGCTTGAATATTTTTCACCTGTTCACATGTCATACATATATTACAGATGATCAGGGTGTCCTCACTACAATACACAGACAAAACAAGTGTCCCTCGTTCCTGCTCAAAATATTTCACGATTTGCGATTTAACCGCCACATCCTTATCAATTATATCATTGAACTTGTCAACATGTTGGTCAAACGTTGGACCACGACTTTTCCACATGACACAAAATTCTACCGGCTCCTCTGCTTCAGATAAGACTGAATCACAACTAGGACTTTGCATGTTTTTCACATTAGTTCCATGTTTTTTAGGCGTATTGGTGCATGAGACGACTGGGGGAGTGTTTTCTTTATTTTCTGACCTAGAGCTATGTCCTTGCGTACCAGTTTCACCTTTACGGCCCCGCTGGTTGACACCATTTTTAGTTTTCTCCTTGTATTTTGTGCGGTCCTTTCCTGTTTGTTTTGCTTTGGAATGTGTGACTGAGGGTGTCGTGTCTTTAACACTATATTGCACTTTGCCGGATACTGATCTATCCTTTCCATTCGAATTCCGTTGCATAGAAACATCAGTCCTTTTCGGGGAGTACGTGTTAGAGCTTCCACCTTTGACCTTTTGTTGACCTTTTGTAGGGGCACTGATATCGCTTGAAAATGGACTACTGCCCCTAGTATTTGAGGTCTTGGAACGAGGTTGAACACTTCTTGGACTTTCAGTTCTCTGTCGTTCTCGAGGTGGCTCAGGATAATTTTGTTTGTATTTTTTGGCTTTCTTCTTCCGGGGAATACATAGGCACCAACAGAACCCATTAGATTTTGCTCCATCCTCCTCCTCCTCACCAGCTGTGTCATACCCCTCCCTTTCGTATGAATATTCATGAATTCGCCACATCCTTGACTTTGAACCATCGCCTATCCCGTCAATCATTGTCATATTTTCATACGATTTATGCATGCGGCGTGGTGTTAGCAACACATTCAGGTCATTATGGTTTGTTCCCCCATGTGGTTTGACTTCCTTTTCTGGGGTATCGCCGTGTTTCTCTTCCAACTGGTCACCTTCCTCCCACTTCGGGAAAAAACCTTTGATGGAATCCACTAAAATCTTGATAGTTACTTGACCTGAAAAACGTTGATATATTACTGATGAAATAATGATTAGTAATAATACAAAACTATGGTGATGATTTAAATAAAATCAGTGTCTTGTCTTCAATGATATCACAATCACATGGCTTTTTACAAGAAACTTGATGTTTGGAAACAGGGCAGCATTAAACATAATCTCTACTAGAGTTGTCTTTTCTTACAAATAACAATGCATTCTGGGAGATATTGTATTAAAAAAAATGTTCAAAAATAATCATTTCATAACTAATTCATCTCTAACATGTGAAATTATCCTAAAACTACATTTACCAAAATGAAGTTGCTACTTTGAGAAATGTGATTTTACAATTTGATTGTTACAGTGGTGCTTCAATACACTGCTTGTTCCTTGTAGGAAAATGGCCACCAACTGAGTGATTCAAACTGAACTGGCCGAAAAACAATAAACTTATGAATCATCGCTTTTTTTATATAAATTTACAGATTTAGTGCAGCCATCTTTAAATCTTGTCATTTATATCCAGTGTATACTCTCACCTTTATATCGCTCTTTTCCAAGATAACCTGAAATTAGAGGAAACACATATTAAGCCTTTAGTTAACTTTACTTATTCTAAAACAACTGTGAAACAATTTATTCCATTTTATATAAGTCACTCTAGTCAGTGGAAATGAAAGCGTCTTACTGTTGGAGGAAACTAGAGTATACGGGGAAAGCTGACAGGGTCAGGCAGGTAACCCATACCATTTCATGTCCATTTAGGGAAATGAATCTTCGAAGCATTGGTGAGAGACAAGTGTTTTACTACTGTGTCATCCACTCAGCCTTTATTACACCATAAAAGTTATATGTGATTAACAACCATCCTTAGTCATAGAGAGATCTACATCTCCATTTTGAGACCTTTGAAAGGTGCTATTTACTTGTATGCCTTTTGTACAATTTTAAAAGATTTTTGGAATTTGTATGACTTAATTTCGAAAAAAAGTAAATATTCACAATTTGGAATTCACCATGGATATGGTCAGAAACTAAAAGGCAGACAAAACACAGGGCAGAGGTCATGACCTACCTGATCCATAGGTTGGTTTTATTTTGCTGGTCACATCCAAAGAGCTGGCTAGTACAAGCTGACCAGATTGTCGAAGAGCATTGATAAATAAGGCAATTGCAGAGTCCCCATTCCCCTGGAGGTGCTGCAATAATGCAGTATTTCTTTGCACCTTGGTTGTCTCCTCTCGAATGCCATCCCTTGTTCCTTCATCCAAGACACCATGTTGAATTAGATAATCAAATATAGCTTCAGAATCAAGAGATTCAACCAGGTCTTGTCGGGTAGGAAGCTGTTCTGTCAGCATGACTGCTGAGGAAGACAGGAAGGCAAGTTGTTGGAATAGCCAGCCAAACTGGAAGAGGAGACTGCTAACTCATCATTCTACAAAAAAAAGAGAAAAAATATTTATATATAAAAAACTAAAATATGGAAGGAACACTAATAAAAAGTATCAAATGACTTCAAATTAAGTTACAAGATTCAACTACATATACACAAAATGATGCAGTAAAAATCAATTTACTTTTATCAATAATATACATACAACATATTGGTCCTGAGCCACATGGTTATTACCTCCAGTATTGAGTACACGTGCACTGGAATTATACAATTGTCCTATTCAGAGTGTTCCATGGGAAGCATATTACAAAGGAAGGCAACCCATAGGGGATAAGGTTTTGCAAGAACAGGGGAAAAGTCATTCCTACCGGGTTTCTCAACAGGAACAGAACTTGGGTCTCTCTGGTGTGATAATCCACCGTTCTACCAATTGAACCAAAGAAAGAAACATGCACGATCAGCAGCTGATGTGACAGAGACCACTTTTAACATTGTGTACAAGCCACACAGACGTTGCTTCTCTTACAATATATTGTAACTGATATCAGTTGTGTTAATGGCTCTACATTTGAAACAGTATTATATTACCAAGAAAAACAGTAGTGAGATTTACCTACTGTTTATAAATCACATAAATCTTGTTTATAGTGGATTGTGTATATGTTGCTGGTCCATTGCTATCATGTTTCCATGGAAACCACAGATACTCTACCTGACTGTGATACAAAATGATATTGATACAACCGCAACAAAAACACCACCAACATCATCCCAAATCCTTGAGCAGCATTACCCTGCTGGTGTATATATATTTATTGTTGTTCAAATCTGTTCTCATCTATTTAATGTCTTTACAGAAAACCACGAAATAACTTCCATGAATTTGACCTTTGGACTCCTTGAACTTAAAATTCATATTCTATATGTGGCACAAATATCAGACATGTAGCTGATTTGAACTGGAACTGATAATAATATGCTCCCTGAAGGAAGAGCTTTCAGTCGCCTCTTTGTCCGTCCGTTTGTCCGTCCGTCATAATTTTGTCTGAATCATAGCACAAAACTATTCAAGGTATCAACAAACTTAAACGAGGTCTTCAAGTTAAATGAGGTTGAGATAACCAGGTTTGACTGTTTGTGATGCATTTTTCTTAAATAGATTGTTTTAAGAAGTCTTGAAGTTTGAAATTTGGTATCATACAAATATGACAGCCCACTAAGATTATTAGGCCAAAATGGATAGCCAAATAATTATTTGTCCATCCATGAAAAAAAAAAAAAAAATGAATTAATATGTTTTCATTCATGATCTACATTTCATATTCATAGAGCCCATAAATATACAGTTAAAAACAAGATTAAATTATGATAACTTTTATGCCCTCTACCATTACACTACTTGGAAGGAATGCCATTTCACGTGATCAGTTTTTGAGTAAAGATCCAATTTAGATCAAATTATTTAAGAGACTACTAACCATTACATTAATCTATATACATCTCACACAGATGATATAAAACCCTCAAGGTACTTAAGTTATAAATAGCAATTTGATAAATCCAAGAAAAAATAAAAATGCCTATGAATATTCATAACTGATATATCACATGACCTATCATAAAAGAGACCTAATTTAGGTGAAGGTCTTCTGGTGATGACCTTGACCTTGGTATGTGTACTACATGTATAGTATGTAAATAAGCTGTCATATTTCAATATATATATATATATCTAATAAAGATATACATAAATATGAAAATAGATTAAAAATTTTCAGATAGCTACATTTATCTTTGCATGAACATTAAATGTTCCAAATACCCTTTACACCTATCTAGAAAATCAATGAGTGAATGTGACTTCCATCTTCATAATCTGTCTATCTACAGCAAAATGGAGAAAGCAGTCAAAGAGTCTAGATGAAAAGTGTCAAGCTGTTGCATAAGATTCCATTATAGATTTGCTATAGGATTCAAACATTGATTAAGTCCAACATGCTGATCAATGTGTTGCTGCCATAATGAGAAAATTATCTTTTGTTTAATCAGCTGTATTATATGTAGAATTGGTGTGGTTGTGAATTCTTGTATAGAACAGCATCAAAACCTTAATTAGTGGTGAATATTGGTACTGAGAGTGTCCTGAAAGACACATAATGACACACATATATAGCGGTGTATAAGTTTGTTGCATATTAGATAATATAACAGGAGAAACAAGAGTATCAATGAAGCTGATGAATGATCCTTAAAAACGACTTAATTGGACAAAAAATTTTAACAAAGCGCAATAATTCTGTAATTAAGGAGTTGCAGGCCCTTACTTTGGTATACTGCACATTTCCTTAGTTTGACCAATGTTTAATGATCCTAGTTTTAATGCACACAAAGCTATGCTCATGACACAAAATTTTAACAAAGGGCAATAACTCTGTAATGACGGGTCATGGACCCTGGATTTGGTACACAGCACATATTGTCAATGTTTCGTGATCCTTGCTTTACTTTGTTGGCAAAGTTATGATCCCTGAAAGATTTTTTTTTATACAGGCAATCACACTGGAACTGAGAGGTCAAGGGTCCTGAATTTGATACACTGCACATTGTCTTTGTATAATTAATGTACCCACCAACTTTCATTATCCTTGTGCCCTAAACACTTCACCTTTTTGAAAACTCAAAAAAAAATTTATCTTGATTTATTGTCTTTAGAATAAAAGATTTTGTTTGCTTGTTTATAAATAATCACCCTGTCTCACCCTGTGGTTATGTGGTGCAAGCTCAATGAAGTAGCTGATGGTTATTTCGATGGACAAAATAAGGGAGGTTATTGATATAAACTGAATCCTCTTCACCCAAGGACTCTCAAAAACTAATTTCGTCAAAATCACTTTACCCGAAGAGAAGTTAAATGGTTTCCAAAGACCTAATTCATTATGTAGTACTTGATTAAGTGTCTAGAAATTAATTATCACTTGGATCTCAGCATTTGTTTTACACTTCATTAATCAATACTAGACTAAGTATCTAAAAGATGTCTACAAATGTATCATAGCTTGGCTCTCAGCGTGTTTTACATAGTTCATATTTTGACTTTTTAAACAAAATCACATTTTCCAAGTTTGCATGGCTATCTACATGCATGTGTGTAAGTTTGATATGTGTATGCAGAATTTCTAATGGTCTGAAAAATTTCAGCCTCAGCTCAGAAAGGAATCTAGTACCATAACAGTTACCTGTTAATACTCCTTATAAACCTGAACCAAAAAGCCACTTACATTCACATACAAATTGTAGGTGTAATATCCATCCTTACAACACAATTATTAAGTCTACCAGCAAAGTCTCCTACCACACAAGATTAATTGGTAACTGCATTGGATCAATTCAACATCACAAACATCCAGGCGAACTGGTCTGGAAAGGTTGTCATGGTGATTAAACATATCACATGATGTAGAATAGAATCCATCACAATTCTATTTCAAGTATTCAATAACAGCTCTTCCTGATGACATGAAATTGTGAGATTTTCATTTTTTGATTTGATACGATACACATAATACATAATAATGATGTGAAATAGTGAGATTTCTGTCTGTTGTATCTGATACATTTCACAAACATTACTTCATAGCATTTGTTGATATTCTAAAGAAACAGCAATATATATGTAAATGGGCTTATTACTGGGTGTGGCCTTAATTCAGGGAAAATATCTAATAATGAATATTATTATGTACACATTAATAATGATTTTTTAATGTTCATAAGAATTACCAAGAGATGTTTTACCAGTGTCCTATCCTAAGCCCACTCCTAGACTATGAGTCAAAGGTAATGTGTTGGCACCCTGGACTCACTACAGAGTAACTATGGTAACGGTAATACTATATATATACTGTGAATGCATGAATGATATGTCTGTTTCAAAAAGGAATTTTATAAGAGAGAAAGTAAAAAACCTGCTTGATAAAATAAATTGTTTAAAAACAGCTGTGATCAATGATTTGAATGAACACAACAACTATAACACATGGATACAAGATTACATATTAAAACCATCTACTCTGTATGTTTTTACTTGTTTCATCAGAAAAGGCAAACCAAAAAATTCTGCACAGACTCTAAAGCATTATGATATTTTAATCTATTTTACAGCAATGTTGTACAAATGTAAGCCATATACCATGTAGGTATATCATAGATCACACTAATTTCTGGCCTGAATTCCACCTAACCACAGCACAGTTACCATAGACAGATTAAGTGTCATTAATATGGAAACAGGAATAGATTTTGACCTATATTTCAAACATCTATAAACAAGTTCTGAGAGAATTATGAATTATTTATATACTATTTCTTTTCAATCTGTTCTGTTTGATATATCACAGAATACCAGGTCACCACATCATTTACTACACCTACCTTACAGAAACACACGTATCCACAAGCATATGCAAGGATGTACTTTAAATATCCATGTCTTAGAAATATAAACAAATCGATCGTGGAGAAGAAGGTTACACCACGGCCACTTTTCCATCAATCTCCTGAGATTCTGGTTTAAAATTCCTCTCACACTACAGAATCACACAACAGACAAACACAGTCCTGCAGTTCAATAACACTACCGCCTGAGCACAATGCTACCTTCTATATCTTGTGGGGGTATGGGTGATTGATGTAAGGAACCTGGACAGGCAGAAGTATAATTGATGGAATGGAATTGATTGGAGAAGGAAGAGAGAAGCCTTTTTGTCAGGGGAGACAATTCATTAATAGAAGGGACTTAATTGGTCACTAGATGATGGATGGTTGGACAGACAGACAGACAGACAGACAGACAGACAGAAAAACAACATGAACAGGATATGGAGGGGTGAGGGGAGGGACATGAGGAAGGGCGTCATTTATTGCCTGGATTTTATCATACACCATATTATATTGATATAAGCTCAGGTTTTAGGAAGGGAAGGCCAGGCTCTATTGATGGAAGTTGGCCTACTGAGATATGGCTACAAAAACTGATGTTGTGTGGAGCTCATTTATTGAAACGGAAGAGAGAAGAATATAGAAGGTTGATAAGGTTCATAGATAGGAGGGAAGATCTCATGATGTTAATATCACCTTTACTGATGACTTAACATAACCTGATCTCTGTATTTCATGATTTATATCATTAAAAATTATTTCCTTGAAAGCTATAAAAATGCTGTATCATAGCACCTCCCGTGATTTTTAACAGTTATATAGTCAGTGCAAAAGAGGGCAATGCTAATCATATACAACTAATTTCAAATGTTTCTGGCAAACTTCTATCTGGTGAAAGGTAGAACTCCAGCTGGTCCTCAATTAACCTTGAAGCTGTGACAAGCTGCCATGCATGGGGCCAAAACAGCAGGGAAGTATATTAACAAGGTCAAAGGTTACACCTAATGTCAAAAGTTCAGTCTAGTAGTCATAAAACAACTTAATACTGTTTAGCCACATTGAGGCAAATTTTTTGTTTTTGTTTTTTTGTAGCTGTTGTTTTCTTCACATTTTCTTCTCTATTCAACTGCTACTTCCTCCTAACAGATATCATTTTGTATAAACATTAGGGTGTGGGTTACATTACAGAATATATGACCTCAGATTGTCAGAGTCAATAACATTAAACAGATCTGAACCCGTCATAAAACCATAATTATAAAAGTAGAATATATTGTCCTGAGAGCAATCAGAATTCAGTATATATATGTGACATCGTGTGCTATCTGTATTCAAGTCAGAGAAAGTTTGCTAGCAAGAAACACTCCTGACTGATAATAACACTTTCTGTTCAAACATATTACATTTAATTTTGTTTGTATTCTAGCTGCAGTTTTGAATATAAATTCAAAGCTATGCGTTTGATATCATTTGAATGTTTCATTTTGTTTCTGTGGTATGAATAATATTGGTTTATAATATTGTTTTATTTTCAATGTTACCATGGTTATCATAAGCAGACTGATTATTATGAAATGAACTGATTCCAGTATCGCCATGATCACATTCATAACAATATACAAATGTATTTGGAATTCTCCTAAAATAATGAAATTTGTTGAATTATGTGGCTAGTGTATAAAATTTAGACCCTTTATTGTCAATAACCCAGTTCTAGGACATCTTTTGGGTCTACTGTATCTAAATCTATATTTGTATTGAAAAGTGTTATTTACTCATGTCTTTTGTACAATCTCCTATATAATGTTGTAAATTTGTTAAAAAACAGCAAACATTTATATGAAAAAAAGCCTTTCTACTATAATTAATATCCATTATTGTCAGAACATTTATCACATATATTTGCTAAACATACTCACATGGACTCCTGGGGGGGTTTCAGCCTTTAAAGTATAGGATGACATAAACACACGCCTACAGACTTCTCCAAACAAACAAGGTAAGTTTTATGTAAACTGGTACCAGGCCTCCTCAACTTCTCAAGTGTAAAGACCCCTTGTCATGTTTGATAGCTATCTGTCATACCAGCTAGATAGTAGCTTACACTGACAGATACAGAGGCTGAGAGATGGGGAATCACTCCCCACAAGAACATGCCTGTATCATCTTTCAACCCCGACCGTGAACTTCTCCCACAACCTGTACATACTCTCATATCTATAAGGCAGAGCACCTGAAACATGGTTATAACCACCCTGTATCACAAGCACATACATGCCATGATTATGAGAATAACAACTGTATTTAGTGTAGATGCATCCATGTGTAAATTGTACAACTCCTATTGTATACAGTTTTACCACACTTAATGTATCTAATCTTCTAATCTTTCTCTTCCCCCCCCCAAAAAAAAAATTTTTAAAAATCACCCTCCAAGTAAGACACAAAAGTGAATGTTTAAATTTGAATTCACTGATGTTTGCAGGTGTGAATGAATTTTATGTCAACTTTAGAGAAAACTTTACCTATAACACATGTTTATTGATCTCAAATTTAAAACATCTGCACTTACCTGGTCTGATGGACACAAAAGGTATATTGCCTATGACATCTCCTATCATTATTTAGTTAATGTTAAGCCAGGTTTACAGGTATTTTCACCTGGTCCCACCCTTAATATCATCACATGTATATATGAACATGACTTGCTAACACAATATATGATCTAAATGGGTTTGACCTTTGAACTTGTAACACCTATATACATGTACTGTAATAAGTACTGTCTGAGTGTCTGTATATTGTGTGCCTGTCCATCTTCTCACTATCTATAAGTACTGACCTGACTAACAGGTAGGATCACCTGTCACTGACTTACCCAGATAACATGTTCCTGTCCCAGTGGATGTAATTACTGTCACCTCAAAGGCTAATTGCAAACTAACCGTAGGGACTTGAATTTAGATGAATAGTTACCTGTGGGGAATCCTTATTACAGACACAAGTTGTGACAGAAAAGGAAGTGAAAGCTACAATTTTAGTTTGAGACCTACATGTATTAGAGACACAATATCTATAGCCTACCAACCACCATTGTCACTTCTGTCCTCTTGCAAACTACATGTAAACCAGGACCCAAAACCTATCTTAAAAGTTAAGCTGTCATTTCTGTCACTATACAGCCTCTCTTGAGAGGCCAGGATGTTTTGTCAATAACCTAGGCATAGTGTTGAGAGGCCATGATGTCTGTCACTACACTAGAACCTCTCTAGAAAGGCCACAGCTTCCTGTTGCTGGCATAGAACTTGTGTTGAGAGGCCATTTCCTGTCACTATATACTAGAACCTCTCTTGAGATATCAAAATTTTCTGTCACTGCCCTAGAACTTGCCTTTAGAGGCCATGATTTCTGTCATTATTAGAACCTGTGTTGGGGGACCATTACTTCTGTCAGTGCTCTAAAACCTCTAATGAGAGGGCATTACTTTGGCTCTTCCACAGAATTTGACCCAAGATTAAATGGCTTCCCATCAATGCTTTAGAACCTGCCTTGAGGCCAAAAAAGTCATCCTTTATGTGACTGAATTAGAACTTGTATTGAAAGGCCATAAGTTCTGTTATGGTTAGAACCTTTGTTGGGAGACCATCATTTCTGTCACTGCCCTTGAACTTATGTGATAGCACCATTTTGTTCTGCATTGCATTGATGAGAAGTCATGTCTTTCTGTGCCCACCAATTAAACTTGTCTCAAAAGAAGTATCTACCATCGAGTCTCACTAAAGACTGGTGTTGAGAAATATCCTCATTGTGTTTAATGCCCATATTATATCCATGTGTATTGGTATACTGAGTAAGTGTGCATTTGTTTGAACAATTATGGTATTTTACCTACTCCAACATAATTTTAACCCATGTGATGGAATTATCCATTATGTAAATGTAGATAGACAGGGGTCAAGGGTCATACTAGAGTTCAAATCCTGTCTGAAGTGACAATTACTTATTAGAAACTGATTAGATAGTTGATATGATAATTGATCATTATACACATACTGATCTGTATCTCCTATCAGTTGGTGTGCTATGACTCAATCTATCTGCCCTGTCTGCAAGCAGGCACCAGAATCAAGCAATGCAATTAGCAGTAAACACTTGTCAGAGGCCAGGCCTGTATATAAACCTTTTGGATGTATAGGATGGAGCCAGGGTTAGAAGTGATAAAAGTGATACTTTAGTAAGGGAGCAGGGTCAGATGGGAATACATTAGGGAGGTGGGTGTCAGATGGTATACTATGGAGAGGTGAAGGTCAGATGGGAATACTACAGTGTGGTGTGTGTCAGATTGGATACTATGGAGAGTTGGGGGTCAGATTGGAATACTATGGGAAGGTGAAGGTCAGATGGGAATACTATGGGGAGGTGAGGGTCAGATGGGAATACTATGGGAAGGTGAGGGTCAGATGGGAATACTATGGGAAGGTGAGGGTCAGATGGGAATACTATGGAGAGGTGAGGGTCAGATGGGAATACTATGGGGAGGTGGGTGTTAGATGGGAATACTATGGGAAGGTGAGGGTCAGATGGGAATACTATGGAGAGGTGAGGGTCAGATGGGAATACTATGGGGAGGTGGGTGTCAGATGGGAATACTATGGGAAGGTGAGGGTCAGATGGAAATACTATGGGGAGGTGGGTGTCAGATGGGAATACTATGGGAAGGTGAGGGTCAGATGGAAACACTATGGAGAGGTGAGGGTCAAATGGGAATACTATGGGAAGGTGGGTGTCAGATGGGAATACTATGGGGAGGTGTGAGTCAGATGGAAATACTATGGGGAGGTGGGTGTCAGATGGGAATACTATGGGAAGGTGAGGGTCAGATGGGAATACTATGGAGAGGTGAGGGACAGATGGGAATACTATGGAGAGGTGAGGGTCAGTGGAATACTATGGGGAGGTGGGGGTCAGCTAGCAATCCTATTGGGAAGGTGAGGGTCAGGGGAATACAATGGAGAGGTGAGGGACAGGGGGGGGGGGGGTCAGCTAGCAATCAAATGTGGGGTCAGATGGAAGTACAGTTGGAACAACAATGACCAGAAATACCATTAGCAAGGTAGGGATCAGAAATGAAAATTGTCTGAGGAAGAGTGTAGGTGGGTGACTCAGATCATTAGAATACTATTGGAGTTAGGAAGGGGCAAGGAGGTCAATGTGATTCATGAGACCAACAAAAACTCATCTAAACAAAGCTAAATGTGGGCAACATTTGTTCATGTTGACCTAATATTGCTGGAAAATGTTTGATAGATCATCAAAATTTTCACATCAACAAAATATTTTTGTTCAATCATGAAATAACAGAATAAGAGTTCACCAAAACGAGTAAATGGATGAGAATGTTTTATGTTCTTTTTTTTTGTCTGTTCCAAGTCACAAAAACTCTTTTAAATTTCCGTGCACATAGTGTATTAGTCAAACTATAATAATTCAAAGAAAATCATGTTCAATTCATCCTGTTCTGATGTAGTGTTTATGTAGTTAGCACACATGAACCATTACTCTTCTCCTGTTAAGAAACATCTTCTACAACACTAACGATACATCAAACTCGTCTACACACACTGAACTGATTTCTTACAGATCCTTAGGGAGTTCATAATAAACAATGTACATTTGTTGTCGAATAGAAGCCTCTTCATTCCCTGTTACTCATAGTAACAATACATCGTGATGGATATTTTGAGGTTATTGTCGGACACAGCCTCAGATATTTGTCTCGTTAAGCGTAAATGATTCATATGAATCAATTACAGAGCTGTACTTGCAGGATGAGGTGGTGATATCTTGAATGTGTGGAAACACCCAACAAACACAAATTTTTATCCAACATTTTCACCTACAAAGCAATAAATCAAAAAACATTGCCGTCTTATACTAATAGCTAAAAAACTGTTTACACACAAGTAATGGCTGCGATACATTACAGCATGAACAATTTACTGACTTTCCATTTAACCATTTTTTTGTCACCAGTAAACCTACAAAATATACCATATTTTTAACTCATGTCTCAGACAATTGCAAAATGAATATTGTTTTTTAAAATTCCACTTTTTAAATGACAATAACACCATACCATGTTTATTATCAAAAACGCTGTGGAAGTCTCAAAATTAAAATTCTGACTCACAGTTGACTCACAGGTTGGGCTAAATAATTTTAAAAATTGCAATGGCTGGTTAATAGTAATGCTACTGAACACAGAAAGATATACCTGTAGGTGGGCTTATTACAAGGCATGGTCTGGTTGGATAAACACGACATGCCATCAAATTTTACTTTTAATAACAATGAAGAATTCTGTTAATGATTGTCAAAATCCTCTCCCCTCTAGCCCCTGACCCCTAACATCCTCCACTAAAATACAATAAATCAGAAGTAATTTACAAAACATGAGACGGACAGGTTGCAGTAAACAATAGTATTTATTTACCTAAATGACAATATATTACCTAACTGTAACTGATGGGTCAGTTTTTAGGTCTATAAATATGGTTTTCTACTGGTTGAACCTCAGCGTTCAGGTGTTAAGACAGGATATGACTGAGTCTAGAATAACATGTAATTAGCTTAAGTTGGATCAGCTTTTGTCTACGCCTTGCATTCCTACGCTGTAATATTGAATATCATCATATTTTCATTCGTATGATAAAATAAAATAAAGAGAGGATGAATTAAAGTACAATAAACCTTAGAGAAAGATGTCAGTATAAGTTGCTGTAAAACCATGACTTTTTGAGTTGCTGTAAAACCATGACTTTTTGAGTTGCTGTAAAACCATGACTTTTTGAGTTGCTGTAAAACCATGACTTTCTGAGTTGCTGTAAAACCATGACTTTTTGAGTTGCTGTAAAACCATGACTTTTGAGTTGCTGTAAATCCATGACTTTTTGAGTTGCTATAAAACCATG